GGGGGGGGGGGGGGGGGGGGAGGTGAGAAGGAAGAAAAGAAAACTGAAAATCAACACACACAAGCACACGCTCACATAGCCCAGGCAGTCGGGGATGAAACCTAGTGACATAACCCATCGAGCGCTAAGCGGCAGAGCGGGTCGGCCACTTTAGATCTTGATATAACAAAGTCGTTGGGCCTGACCTTTGATTTTGCTAAATCTGAGTTGTTCATAATACCAATAATGTGTGCAACAAGTTGCGTAGCAATGTTAATGTAGGGTCAAGCATACGTCAACGTCTGTTTCCTCAAACCAGCATGCAATTCATCACGTATAGGTTTAGATCTGTCTCGATAAACCTTTCATCATCCAGCTGTACGACAATAGTTTTTGAATACACATGGATGGGCCTATTTACCCACAGTAGACAAAAAGACAACCACTGTTGCTGCTGATCACACTTGTTGTTGTTTGAGGAAGAAGCAAACTACAATCGAGCATGGATATTATATCGAACACACTGGGGATTGACAAATGAAATTGACACACTTTTATCCATAATTCGATTTATATCAATATTATCATAACAGAGAATGAAAGTTTTTATACTGAAGAAATTTCAGGGAAACAATTGTGATGGTATTAATGTAGTCAGTCGGAAAATAAGTTACTGGAATTATGAAAAGTACCCTTGGCATTGATAGTCAGGTGGTTAGGTTACCGAATGTTCCCATTTGGCATTCTATTGGAGATGGATGTTGAATTCAGAGGTCTCTCCTCATATCCTTAGTATTGCAAGGGGCTTTTTAATCCTTCCCAATGATGAATTTCACATTCTTACCCAGTATCGGTAAGAGAACAGATGGATAGATATTGTACACTCCTTGTTCGGTGTTAAAGCAAGAGAAAAGAAGAGAGGGGTGCTGATGAGCCTTTCTACTAAGTAATCAAACAGAAAAATTGCTCTTACGCCTGGACATGATCATGACAATGTAACCAACCCTCGTCTGAGCATGCCACCCACCCCTATAGTGTAATCCGTTCCTGATCCATTTCTTCCCATTCAAACAACCACAAAATTACAAAAATACTCATGAATGTTCGAAAAGGAATTAAAACTCCATATTTGGCCCAATGCAGCGCCACATTGTCTGTCTTCGATCACACACCACCACCCATCCTGAGTGGCTGAAATCTGATTTTTTAGTGTGATTCTCCCTGTTTTCATTTTTCTTGTTGTTGATAAAGGTTTGTTCCTCTTTCTTTTTTTTTCAGAGACAGAAGAACAACAGAAAACCAGGTTTCAGACTGAATTAGAATTTGTACAATGCTTGGCGAATCCCAACTATCTGAACTGTAAGTAAAATGTTTTACAAAATTTCATTAGTTGTAACTTACTGACCAGATGATGGCAGTAGTGCTCATTTTAACCTTGGGTGTTGCCTTTCTGAACCTCTGTTTTGCTCACAAAAGTGCAGGTTTGGAATAGCGTGTGGCACAGAAAGCTCAAACATTGAGGATTGACAAATGGGTTTAATACATCCATAATTCAGGCAAACCGTTAAAATGGACATTTAAAAAAATGTTATAGGTTTAACACCCCTATCAACACTATTATTAGGTTATTTAAGAGGCGGGTCCTCTGAGTTTAACATCCGTATCTGAAAGGACCGAGCCAAACGGGAAATCCGTGTAAAGTGCCTTTTCCAAGGACACAACATCGGGACGAGGCTCGAACTCCGAACCCGCAATCTCATGATTACGAGTCCGGTAGCCTAACCACTAGGCAACCGACGACTCTCGAAAAATTAAGAGAGATCAAATTTTGGAAGAAAATCAAGGGGAGTAGCTGTAACCGTTTACCGGTTGGAAAATAAATAACTGTAACAGGTTTACTGTTGCAGATTCGCTGCATACAGCTGTATGAGTGACACTGTTTCTTAACAACAAAAATATGACTACTTCATTTTGTGCATCTCTAGAATGAGATTTTTTCCTTTCTTACAACTTACACATTGTCTTTTCGGTTTTGTTTCGTACAGTTTTGGCCCAGAGAGGGATTTTCAAAGAGCAAAATTTCATCAACTACCTTAAGTACTTGCAGTACTGGAAAGAGCCCAAGTATGCCAAATATCTCAAGTGAGTTCATTACACTCTTGACTCTTATGCTTTTGCTGGTCATCAGAATTAGATTTTTGACCCTGAACTGATTATAATGTTAAACAATCGAGTTTTTTTGTTTTGTTTTGTTTGTTTTGTTTTTCAAATTGATTCTGGTGTTAATGTTAAATTGCAATATGGTCAGGATAGCATAGATGAAGGGCAGCTCTTGTGGCCTTGAGGTGTAGTGTTCTGCTCACGGTCAAAAAGTCCGATCCTTGAGACCTGCCAGCAAAGAAAACATTTTCATCTATAAGATTTTCTCTTTTGTCCCCCTTTCCTGTGCTGTAGTCCTCTTCTGTTATCTGCCTTTATCTCCACCCCCCCCCCCCCCTTCACTCTTCCCTCCTCTCTCTTTTCCCCCTTCTTTTCTCCTCTTTCCCTTTCTTCTGACTTGTTCTACTGCTACTGGCTTCTTCTCTTTGCTCCTCTTTCAGCCACACCCCTTGTCTTAGGGTATATATGGGATCGAACACCTAGCCTTCTCAGATAAGGGTGAAAAATTTCAGAGGTCTCGTATGGAAATGGCGCTTGTTAAGATCCCTTGGTGGCCCTAATTAAAACTGTAGTGTACCTTGGAAATCGGAATGTGGCTACCTGAGAGCAAGGCACCCTGCAAAGTAGGAAAAATGGTCATGCAAGTAAAAATCAGTGGCGCAAGAAGTCAAAGAGAAACGAAAAGAAGAAGACACTGTAGATGAAGGACAAATAGGCATGTTTCTATTTTACCGTACGGACCCTAGTGCTCATCTCAGATCATGCTACCTTTATTCTTCCCCAATTGTAATGCACACCTCAATGAGAAGTGGAGTATATCCAGCAAATCCAGGAGCTTTTCCGCCCAAAGCTAAGGTTCACACGTCCTCACCCTGTTGGCTTATCAGGCAAGGGTCCAAAATATTGGGTTTTATAAAAAGTGGAAATTCAGTGTCTAAACTTACCAATCAACTTCAACATATTTTGTGCCGTTTTATGGCTGCACTTATAGCAATGAAAGGCTGACTATTTCATTTCCCTGACAGAGCCTCTTAATTTGTGTTGATGGGGGGGGGGGGGATGACATAGAGCGTAGTCTTACGTTTATCAGCCGATTTGGAGTATCATAAAAGTCTACCTCTATGTTTAAGCATTTACACGTGTGTAACTCATATGTCTGCGTATGTGCCAGGTACCCTCAGTGCCTTCACATGCTGGAGCTACTACAGTACGAGCACTTCCGCAAGGAACTGGTCAACTCTCAGTGTGCTAAGTTCATCGACGACCAGCAGCTTCTGAGCTGGCAGCACTATCAGCGCAAACGCAGTACTCTCTTACAGGTACACCAGGGTCACTAAAGACTGGGGAAATAAGGCCCTCTTTTGTCTTTCTTTGTTTTTTGGTGGGTTTTTTTACGTATTATTATGCATTTTTATACCTTCATTAGCACAATATACAGTTGAATCTTTGTAAGACGGCCACATATTGTCGTGGAGAATAGTGGCTGTATGAGACCTATTATTTAGGTCTTGTTGAACTTGGAAAAAAAAAATCAATACGGGACTCACAAAAGAAAGAAACGGAAGAAGTGCTATATCATGTCTTTCAAACCAGTTAGAGAAAAAATAAATAAATTTCTTTAACTTCTTATTTTCTCTTTCAGACGCAAAATTGGACAGCGCACAATAGTAACAAATGAAGCTCACATGTCTCTGATAAAAATTGACTATAATAACAAATTGTGTTGAAAGCACCCATCAAGGTATGACTTCATTTGTTATCAATGCATTTTTAGAGCAAAATTATCAAACAAGTAACAGATTAGAAACAAAACAAGAAATTAACAACTTAAAACAAGAGAAAACTAAAAACGAAAGAAAAAGAAAATCAAACGACTAAATTGCTCAGCTCAACGAACCACAAGGTGTAGCCCCTGAAGATTGACCCACAATGCTGAGCTGTCTCAATGTCTGAGAGCTGTCCAGACGATAATCGGCACGGTCATCGGACAATACAAAAATTGCTACGCACACTGATGTGCTCAGAATGAAGAAAACAAACCATTTCCTATGGTCCCAACTGGAGGTGGTCACAGGCTTAGGACTGCCATAGGGCTTATTGAAATGTGTTTTTTTGGGGGGGGGGGGGGGGGTTTCTTTTCTTGACTAAGCAATGTGACAGTTTCATCCATTGGGACTGACAATATCGAGAGGTGAATGAATTATGGCTGCTTATTCTCAGCATCAGGGGAAAAGGTAAATTTGGCAGTGGGTTGATGAAATAGGGTGGCTGCAGCCGCTTTGGACAGGTGCCTTTTTACACAGTTAAATTACATAGAAAAAATGCTTGGGGAGAGGAGGAGGAATGGACAGTGGCCGCTGTCCATTCCCCCTCCTCTCCCCAAGCTGGTGGCTGTATTATACAGGTGGCCGTCATGGCAGTTTCAACTACATAATTTCGGAGGCAAGTTTCTATCCTGCCCATCAGGACCATCCAGGGCTAAGAATGATACAACAGCCCAGCAGGAAGACTGAGATACTTGATAGAAATTCTTCTCTCTCCAGTCTCCTGCCTGTGATGGTAAAAGACCAAATCACTACTACACCACAGACATCAGTCTCTTTTGTCTTTATGAACTTTATTTTTTATCAAATTATGTGTGCAGGAAGTTGGAGGGTGTCACTGGGCCAATCTCTTTCATTTACCTGTAGTGGTTTTTCTAGCTTTTGCAAGGCATTAAGTAACTGTTAATGTGCTTCTTTTTGCTCAAGCAAGCATACAAGTCATATGTACTTAGGACCTTCGGGCTTCAGTTCTCAGTTGTCAACTTTTTTTTACCCCTGTTTGAAGCTATTGATAGGCCATATGTCCGTCCAACCTTTTTGCTTTCCCTTCTTTTTATGGTCAAGCCTGGAGCTTAATGCCACACTGAGTAAAATACCATTAGGTTCTGTGCTAAATTAGGCTGTTCTGGTTTTTTTCTTAGAGTTGAGTCAACATACTAGAACTAGAAGTTGTGGTAATAATGTCAGTTCAGCTGTGGAACCTGACTTGAATTACAGAGTTCACTTTCATTTACTTTAAGTAATTAGTGCAAAAGCCCAAGATCTGCGGTTCAAACCCTGGACCATCAAATTCCAAGGTGGGCACGTTGCAACTTCACTGAAGGCACTTGTGTCTGGTGTAACGTTTTTTAAAAATTCTTTAATGAGGTTCACAGTTCTGCCGACAAACATGTTTCTATTTACAAATGTTTTCAAGCCTTAGGAATTTGATTAAGTTTTTAAAAATTTTTTATATTATATGGTAATTGTAGTCTTTATGATTATTAGAGCACGGCATTTCAAATGTCCCGCTGCGCGCTCATATGACCTTATGCAGTTGCGAGCACTATAAAACTTACTTAACTAAACTAAGTGTCTCGCACAAAATGTACTCTTTTATTCACCATAATTTTAAAAAATTGAACTCCCCACCCCCACGGGGCGGTGCCACTAACTGAAGTCTTTAGGCCATTCCCAAAGGGGGGACATTTCTCGTTCATGCACCGTAGAATTGTAAATGGGCTGATTCATCATGTCACTCTCATAACTGTGCCTGATCTGCAACAGGGAACTGCTGCTTTTTCTTTCCTAATCCTTACTTACTATTGTCATTCCTCTACTTCTTTTGTATCTTTGTCACACTCTTGTGACCTGCTATTTCTAGGGTGCCTTGATAGTCGAAGCAGACTTTGTGCTGTTGAAGCTAGAGAGGTGAGCAGAGTAAGTCTTGATTCCCTGTAAGGACTTCTCTGTTGACATCCACCCCTTGGCGCTCATATGACTTTATGCAGTTTCGATCGCCGTAAAACCTCTACGAAAACTAAACTAAAAAATTGAAATTGAGAACATATCAAACATACATACAGTTTGAACTGGATAGGTCGAACACAGATTACTCGAAATCAGTCGAACTGTGCCTGCAGCCGCGGGTTGTTGTTTTTTTTTCTTCTTTTTCTTTGTAAGAAAATTAGGCGGTGCTCGAACACAAACACGGAATAGTCAAACTAATTACGCCGCCGTAGAGATCCTTTGAGGAGCATTTCAGACAAAATAATTATGATAGTGAAAATAAAAACTAATATAAAATATTTTTTGTGCACTGCTCGACATGCGTGCCCTCTACGTCCCAGCCCTAGCAAGGCGTTGTTGATTACTGTTGCGATATAATGCTTATCTTGTCAAATGTTTTGAAAAGGCACTTTTCGATTAGGGGCTGTTCAATTATAATCGTACGCCTTTTTGGGGACTTTTTGACCCCCCCCCTCCCTTCACTTTTCTTACATTTGCGTCCCCCCGTAATATGACATTGTTCGCTTATAATATGGTACTAATAATATGACATTTATATCGCACAAATTCATGTTACAATCATTGTTCCATGCGCTTTACATAATATTCATGAAGAACATGCATGTTCCACGCAATTTACAGATCGGCATGTTAACGATTGTATAATTGCGCGGCAATCTTAAGATTGGACTGCATATTTTAACGATCGTATAACTCACTTCCATTTTTATTCTTTTACTCACATCAAGGAACATTCACGTATATTTTAAAAAGTGCTAAAATATGAAAATTAAAATTAAATATGAAACTGAAGATCTCGCAAAAATGATACAATTATATAATCGTTAAAACGTGCAGCGCAATCTTAAAATTGCCCCACAATCTTAAGATTGCCACGCAATTATACGACCGTTAAAACGTGCAGCGCAATCCTAAGGTCAGTAAATTGCGTGGAACACATACACAGATATCATACGTATGCACATAAATAATATGCAGTTCTACATTTACTAAAAAAAATAACAGGGCAGACCATTCAAGCAAGATATTGCATACACTCTTTCTTACTAATCAGGAAAAAATTGAGACTCAAGTCAATTTAAAAAGCGCCTTAATTACAAATAACTCAAATTACAGTGAAATTCGGGACCGAAAAAAAGTACTGACTTTATGTACTACTCGCCATTGAAAATTGAAGATGACAGCTACAAAATTACAAAGTACCTGGTAACAAGATGTTAGCTCAATTTCAGTGAGTATAATTCTGAAGTTGTCACCAATACAAGAGATAATGAATGAACAAAGTAATTGAAGGTGTGTACACCACTAGCTCAGGACCTAAATATCTCTTCTTAAATGAATTCATCTTGGGATTTAGCCCCAAATAGTTTACTTTACGCAAGGTTAACACTCAAGCGGTTGACCGTACATGTATCAGAAACACAATTACTTAAACAAAGAAGGTAAGAAACGGGACCACAGTGAGGTGTTGACTGTAAGCAAAAGTTGACTTTATTAGGATTCCACAGTATCTGTTATTACCATACTGATCATTATGCTTAAAACAAAAAGTGAAATTACTTATCATCTACAAAGGCAGTGTTCATCATTATGTCGTCACAAATATTGTTTTTAAACAGGGGCATCTGCAGAACTGTCTTCCAAATACATGGGTCCTGTTGCAACATCCTGGTCTGTCTCCTCTTTTTCCTCCACCTCCATTTCTTCCTGTGTAAAGCCATGTGCCTCTTCAATGCTGCAATACTTGGAAAATATTTCCAACATTCCTTGTGGCCTCTGCACACCATGCAGCCTTTCTTGACCAAGGCCACCCTTTTTTCCCCCTTATTTTTTCACCTCACAAAAGTGTAATATTACATTGGTTCAAGACCCCCCCCCCCCTCTTACACTTTTCTTACAGGAGCCAAAGACACCCCCCCCCCCCTCCAGGTGTAAGGTTATATTTGAACAGCCCCTTAGTGCAGAAGACCGCTCACACTGACCCATGCAATCAAACTGTCTTGGTACCGGTAGGCTCAATACCTATCGAACTCGAAAGCGTTGTTCATCGCATTTCTCATTCTCAATCTGTCAATTTCAGATTCTCTCAAATTTCAAGTCAATAGGCATAGATCTATCATACCTGATCTAGGACAATGGCCGGAAAAAGAAAAATCTCTGATCCGACTCAGTCTTTGTTCCTTCCCTTGATTCTCTGACTCATTAAAAATCTATCGTCCTTATCTCCCCTTCTTCTTTTTTATTTTTGATACCGGTACTCTCTCTCTTGTAACACCTCTAATCTTCTGGTGCTCATATATAGGACATTATGCAGTTGCGAGTGCAGTAAAACCTCTGCTAAAAGTAAACGATACAGCGGATGCCTTAACACTGTTCACATATCCCTCGAACTACCGAGACCAGTCCCGACGAATTCGGGCAATTTGTGTTACACTATGTATTTTGCCCTCTGACTCTCATCTCTCCAGGAACAGGCCGAGAAGACCCAAGCGGCTAAAGAGACGAAAGAAGTCAAACCACCAACCACTCAGGCCGCTACTTGATCTTTCTCCACCTCACATGGAACGTCAGGGAACATGTTAGGGTTGTCATACCATTTTCTCCTGTCACTGTACATAGCCCCATCGTTTTATCATGAATAATTTCTGCATGAGAATGAGAAGAAGCAGTTTGGAGCGAGTGATTTGTGCTGTTGACTGTAGCTGGTGTGTTTTTTTTTTGCCAAAGTGGACTTTTTTGTTATAGTTTCACTTTCACATGTGTATATTATTACCCTGTCGCTCATCATGTTATGTTCGTTATAGACATACAGCGATGTTGCTGACAGTTTGTATACACATTGTCACTTCGCTAATAGAATAGCACTTCTTATTTTTACTCCGTTTGAGACAAATGAAAAAAACAACTAGACTATTTATCATGTAATAATGGTAAAACTTGTCTTACACGTTTATCTTGTGACTGCCGGCGCATTTTTGTTTTGGTTTTACCAAAAGATATACAGTCCGCTCCACTTGTAGCGAGGTCGGTTGTAAAGATCTTTGGACGTAGCGATTTTTTCCATGGTACGGGCACCGATGCAACACAAACTCAATAAAATTGAAACGGTTGTACTGAATTCACTACATCCGTCGTGACGGCTGTAGTGATGCGTAATCTTATCCCTGGCCCATATATTTTATAGTAAAAATATAACGGTTTTAAAGGTGTTTCCCCCGTGGTTAGCTTTGATGAACGTGATGATGTTTTGTAACGTTACGCACATTCACACAACAGTACGAGGCATCAGACATCCCACATGATACTATTGATTACCTTACATGATAAACGCATTAGCGAACATGATACTGCCTCCCTCTCACTTCGCCTAGCGACATGGCCATGAGAGACAACTACGATGTGTTGGCACTGTGGCTTAGCGCCGAAGGAAGCGAACACGGTTGGCCCTGCCTCTCTCTCACTTCGCGTAGCATCCCTACTTGCCTGAGTCAATGCACTGTGCGTGTGGTGTGTGTCACTGACCTGTGTGCTGGGATTATTTCCCTTGAATTTTTCTTCCAGCGACTGTTGTGAACTTCGGATGTACCGGTAGCGATCTTTTTTCTGGTCCCCCAACGATATCGCTACAAGCGTACTCGACTGTAGTGCCAAAAATAAAAAGTAAAACGCTAGATCTAGTTGCATTTTGGAACAGCTCTGAGTTTTGCAATTTTGTTAACGCAGTGACAATAGTATGTGAAAATTGAAAGGTGCACCGTGGAATGAATGGTCTGAGCAGGGCTGCCAAGTGTCCTGCGTTGCACGGGACAGTCCCGCATTTTGGCCACCGGTCCCGCACGAAGCTCAACATTGCACCTGGAACAATTTTTCTCAAGAGCTCCGCTTTTGTTCACACAGGTCAAGCCATGCAGGAACTGGGCGAGGAAAAATGTTGAGTTTATGGGGCGGGGGAATCTTATAAGTTATGTAGCCTTGCGAAGTCCGATGTGTTCCTCGAGTCATTTTTCCCAACTTGGCAGCCCTGGTCTGAGCAAATGGGAAATCTTGTGTAAGGAGTTTGTTAATGTCATGTCATCAGCACTTACTGTGTGACTTCCATGAAGTTGAATGAATGAAAGAGCCATAATATTATGTGAATAAAAGGTGCCTGTCTGCTTCAAAATAATGTATTTTAGTTTCTCTGCTTTATTCAGAAGGATGGAAGATAATAGTTTTCATACATGCTGTACCAGTACTGAACTGAATGTGTTTAACTCACTGGAGACGGTTCGCGCAACATTTGCGAGCGCCAATATTTCCCCGAGAGGGAGTTCACGCACCCCCTGCGAGCACAAGTTTGGCATTTTCTATTCGGCAAAGTATGCGCACAAACGCTGCGTGAACCGTCTCTTGCCGTGCAGCCGACCTTCGTTTCGTTTAGTGCGAAGTTTCACCGGAATTGGCTGGAAACTTTTTGAGTCATTGACCCGAAAGGAAAGTTAGTCTCACCGAGGCCCTACTTTCGTTTCTCTGACTGGTGTCTGTTCTTGCAACACTTAGTACGATGGCAGCACTTTTAGTTTTAGTAAGTTTTACGGCACACTATAAGGTCGAAGATTAGGTGTTACAAGAGAGTAACAAACACGAAAAAAGAAGGAAGAGAGATCAGGACGATAGATCTTTGATAGGAATGAAGGAGCAAACCACACCAGAGCACCCGCCAACCACCCACTTAGTAGCGAAAAGCAAACATTTTTCAAGTGTTTGCACGATTTTGGCAGTTTAGAAAATTCTGATTATGATATTTTAGACCATGGGGGATCCTGATTTCAATGTAAATGAGCATCAAAGCACCGATTCTGATAGCGTATGTTCTAGATCTAAACATTCCGCTTTGTCTGGAGTCCGCGTTTTTTTTCACTCTGAAGTGGATTAGACAGCTAATACGTAAGGATTACCATATCGATTACCTGCCTATTCATGAGTTTGGACTTTTTTATTAATTTTGAAACTCAAAACACAATACAGTCGGTGTCGCATTCAACAAGAAGTCGGCTCCTATGAGGCAATCCTTAATCCCCGATTTTTCCCTCTCTATATATTTAAATGAACGTCAGCTCCAATGAGGTTGCAAACAGGCCGAAGTCGCTTTCAACGAGGTCGCGATAACTAAATAAACAGCAATTAACGGCCCCAAAAGCGAAGAATTTTTCTCCTTTCTCTCCTTCTGACTTGGAGCACAAGGCCCATCATCGATTCCTAACACATTGTATTGCTAGATCTAGTGTGTCTCGTAATATGGGCCCCAAAGCCAAGAGGACGGGTGAGAGTTGGCTGCCCTAGGGTAGGGATGGGAGGGGGTGGATGGGAACACGATGCAGGCTGTGTGAAACTGGATGAACTCTGGATGGGTAGGCCGAGATCGAGACCATTTTTTTTTTCAATTTTCTTTTATTCCTCTGATCAGAAAATCCCAGCTCCCGCCTTTACTTTATGTAGATATCTAGATCTAGGCCTAGATGTGAGAGGATATGCTTCCACGCGAGAAGAGTTCCCGCAAAAAAAATAATTTTAAAATGTAGAAATGACGGTCAGAACACAGCTTAAACACGCGAACACTGATGTTGTTTGAGAACTTTGTCATCAGGGGGAACAACTATTTTAATTACTGGTTCTGGTACATCGTGTATATAGTAACGTGTCTCCTTTCTTTTGTTTAGCCTTAGTTACATTCAACGAGAGGTCGGATCCAACGAGCACAACAAGCCAGTCCCGGCAACCTCGTTGAATGCGACACCCACTGTAAAAGACACACGCAAGATTAGATTTTGGGAGGTTTTGTTGGTTTTTTTTTAACTTAATTAAAACATTTCGTCAAAAATTGTGGCGAGCAACAAATTTTAGCACATTTACAGAAAATCATTTCTAAAAAACTATAAATGATATTGCCTTTCAGGGGTTTTTTTGTGTCATAATGGGCATGTTTAGATGTGCTTGTGTAAAAATGGTGGTTGTATGTCTTTGGGAAGGATGTTGTTTGAAAATGAAATACCCCCAAAAACACCAGTCTTCAGCGTATGTAGACCTGAAAAAGGCCCAGTCTCCACTGAGATAATGAAGGTCAAAAATTTGTACGTGCTGACGGTGGTGTTTTTTAAAACTCAAGTGCTGCTGAGAATGAGGGTCAGACTCAGAGTGAAGGCATAGATCTACATTTTTTTAAAAATTTTGCCTAGACAAAAGTAAAAAAACCCAACAATTTATGATACTGGCTTGTCAAATTGTTAAATAGTGTGAATCAAGATCTTGTGCAATTATTTAATATTAGCTTGAAAAAGAGACGCAGAAACTACATTACTGGGGATGCTAAAAATGATTTTTTTTTTTTTAAAACTGAAAATGAGCGGAGCATCACATCTCACCTACAACGAAGTGTAAAGTTTTTAAATGACAAACAAAAAAATCTCTCTTACTGTCTTACCTCTCCTCTTTCCATTACAAGTGTATGGGGCCTTTGTTGCATCAATTCCAATACAGTAGTCTCCGCCTAAGATCCCGGTGCTTGGGAGCAAGGAAATGCGGGATCTTAGGCGAACCGGGATCTTAACCGATGAACCCAGGGAAGAATCTATGGTGACCCATGTTAAGGCTCACAATCGGTAAAATGGTCTCCCTCCACTCTACAATGAACTGACGTGACCGCTTGGTGGGTTTATGACGCATGGCGAGCAAAGAGTGGTTAACCTTGATGACCTATCCCAGTGCATAGTGGGATGTGGCATGCCATTTTCACTTATTAATCTATCATGAGTCTCAAGATCTACGCTTATCCAGTTGCCCCTCCTCTTTACCTGTCAAAATTTATAGCTGTCCATCTCTCCCCCCCCCTTCCAAACCGCCTTTGTCGTTACACACAATTACGTTGTGAACCCACCAATTAAAATTCAGTCTGTCTCGAAAATTCGGGAGTAGAGACAACTGCTGCAATGGTCTAGGAAGAGATCACGGTTCGATGTGATCCTGCCTGGAGCGAATGTGTAGGCCCTACCCACCCAGCGAGTGATGCAAGTTTAGGTGGCGAGTTCAGGTGTGAGTGCGATGCGTGGGGAAAACAAACGCGTTGGTCAGTTCACACCTCGGTGTGATCCCGTCTGGGGCAAATATTGTATCGCTTCATCGAGTTTTACAACGTGTATGTGATCACATTCACGATAGTGGCTGATCTTTGACGCGACGGACAGTTTATTGATCTCAACTTTTCACTCTAGGTTGATCGGCTGTGCCCGCCCCGGCTTTTGTTTAGCAAATTATGATCTGAAATGCGGGATCTTAGCCGAATGTAGACCATCAGAGCGGGATCTTAGGGGTGACTTTTGTATAGTAAAAATTCTGTTTTCCTAAAACAACGGGATCTTAAGCGAACCGGGATCATAAGCGGCGGGATCTTAGGCGGAGACTACTGTATTATTATTTCTGTCTTGAGAAGAAGGGCCTTATGTTAGTGGCCTTCTTGGAGACAGGAAAAATTCCAACAAATGGAAAAACGGGAGATTTGGCATTCCTGATCACTGCAGCTAAGCTACACTGATTTGGGCATTAAATTAAATTTTAATACATATATGTACAGTATGGTAGTCTCCGTCTAAATAGTAAAAGCACGCTCCGCTCAAACGCATGCTTTCTTCATATGAGGTTTTTACTATAGACGTACAAACGCACGATCACTTCTAAACGCACGCTTCGATCCGTGAAACACGCCAACAGGTAAAGCTTGACAAGGGGAAATTTTCGCAGCAGCCTACACAGCTAGCACTTGCACAAGCCTAGACAACCAGATACCTGTAGATACCTATTTGGTGAGACTGGCCCTCCTCACACAAAACAAAGAGAGTGATGGACAGAGTTCCCACGCCCAATAACTTTCCACGGCCACATTGGTCTAGGAGGACTGGTTGAGCGATTGGGGGGGGGGGGGGGGGGGGGGTCTGAAATGTCTTTTGATTGGATGGCCACTCAAAATGCATCTTTGAGAGACTGTTTCTGACTGGTGTTTGAGCGACTGCATACATAATGTTTAGTTAGGCCTATGATGCACAACACGCGTGAATGCTGTAAAACGCTGGATAGGCCTCTTTGTTGCGGATTAGTAATCAGCTGCGCTCGAACTTGAACCAACCCATTCAACGCCTTTGAATTCATAATTCATAACCGCAGTCTGGGAATCCTTCACAGACAGTTATGTGTCGTCATATTATCATCAGCCAAAATGACCCCCCACCCTCCAATTTCCAAGGCAGGTAATTAAGATATCAAGGAAATAAGATGATTGCATTCCTTCCTCCCTTTACACAGGTTCATGTAAACGCATGCTCTGTATAAACACACACTAAGTGTGACTAAGGGGCCTTCCCCAGCATTGTGCGTTTAGGTGGAGACTACTGCACCTCAAAACTCAGAGCTTAGGTAGGCCCTACTGTGTGGTTAAAAAACTTGGGGCTGAGTAAATAGGAAAAAATGTGTAGGCCTATGTGTCATTACAAAATCACTCGATAGATAGAAACACATGGACCCTTGCCACTGGCAACATAGTTCATAACAATGAGTTTGCTCATTCATTGTATTTATTTTCAACAGATAAATATCCTGTACACTTGCAATTTGATTTGAATTACTACTTGAATAATTCATGATAATCAAGTATTGACAGAAAATCATGACACAAAGCCAGTGATTTCTCACCTGTAGCACGTATGTTGTGAACTTTCTCATGCACACACTAGCACATCGAAGGTACCTGGTAAGGGCTACTCTCTCTCTCTCTCTTTCAGCACATATACACAGTAAACAGCTACCCTTAGCCTCCTCCTCACTCTCAGAACAGTCTACACAGTAAATGGCTACCTTCAGTCTCTCAGCTCAGCACACAATATATACAGTAAAGAAATACCTTCAGTCTCTCAGCTCAGCACATAATATATACAGTAAAGAAATACCCTCAGTCTCTCAGCTCAGCACACAATATATACAATAAAGAAATACCCTCAGTCTCTCTCAGCACAATTTACATGGTAAACGGCTTCCCACTGTCTCTCTCAGCACCATCTCTCTCTCTCTCTCACTCACTCTCTCTCTCTCTCTCTCTCTCTCTCAGCAAACAGTCTACACAGTAAAGAGACACCCTCAGTCTTTCTCCCTCCTTGGCTGTCTAACCAGACCACGCAGTAAAAAGCCACCTCAGTCTCTCTCAGCACATACTTACAAGTTACAAGACTTATGACAACTGTCAGTCTCTCGAGTACAAAGTGCAAAAACAATTTAGTAGACATCTCAAGAGCCGTTGGAACATGCAAAGACTCATCCAGGACTGGGTAGGCAGAAGTGTTTGTGGAGAACCCTTGCCCCCGCATTAACTCACTTGAGGCTATTCCCGTGTATTAACTGGACACACCAGTGGCCTAATCCAGAGTATTTATGGGATGCGCTTTATCGGTCAATATATCCAGTGTTTTTGTGTCATAAGCTACGGGAAGCAGCAAGCCAACAGTTGACCCACTTGTTTTGTTTCCTTAAAAATTTGGTGAAGTCAAGTGCGATACTTTTTTTTTAGCTGTAACGGACAAGTCAGTAACCCCCTGCATTGTGATAGACGATTTTATTATAAATATAAATTGGGCGCAAAAAAACGTTGCGTAACCCAGGGATGCCCTTTTTCCGGTTAAAACCGGAAATCCGGGTTTTTAGCGATTTTCCGGGGCCTCCGGTTTTTAGCGCCCGATCCTCCGGTAAATTCTCCGGTCGGCCGAGAATTTAAGTCCGGCCCGTTGTCAAGAGCGAAAAAATGTGATACGACTCGAGTACGAAGAGTCCACCGGCGGATTTCCGGTTGTGAATTTTATGCACCCGGGCTAGAGAATTCTTCTGCGCAAGCGCAGTCATTGTTCTGATTAGGCAAAGCCATCTCTCCCACCGCGATACGAACGTCATAGATCTATCTAGATCTAGATTAAATTACAGATTACAAAGACAGTCAAGAAGAAACGTAGATCTAGTCAACACGTGCCTTTGATTCGTTCAAGGATTACTATATTACTATTTCAATTGGATTTACTGTTGTGTTCCCTAGATCTAGATCTAGATCTAGATTGTAGATCAACGGAAGAAGTGAAGAATGGATGATAACCTTTCCATTGTGCGTGGTCACGCTTGTGTAAAGACGTTGGACAAAGGTCTGAAAAACAAATTCAAATGGGAATGGCTGCAAGAGAAAGTGGCACCCGAGTTTGGTGGTGGATACTATTCGGACTGTTTCAGGAAGCTGAAAGAGGCTGGTGCAGTATACTGTGTGTTCTGTGAGGACAAAATTAAGTATGGGAGCTCAGGGAAAAAAGCCCTGTCTGATCACGTGAAACGCCCAGCACACATGACAAAGATGAAAGAGAAAAAAAGTGAGAGGGCGACTCAACCAGCTCTTGCTTCCATATTCAAGAAACTGAAGTGTTTAGAGGAAGGCAAATCGGAGCCACCACAACAAGTACTTCCATATGGGACTCCTGAGAATGTCCTTACAGCTGCACAATGCTCATCTCAATCTCAGACGCCTCAACAGTCAATGCCCAGATTAATAAGCATGGCTGACAGAAAATCACATCAGGAGGGCCTCATCTGCAGTTTCATTGCAGAGCACTCTCTGCCACTGTCACTTGCCCCCCATTTAGTTTCTTTAGCCCAAGAGCTGTCCAGAGATCACAAAGCCCTGCAAGAATTGAAGTTGGGACGAACATCTGCCACATGCAAGCTCAAAGAGGGTGTGTCAGGAGTTCTCAGGAAACGTCAGCACCATGAAACAAACACCATTTTCTGTCAACATTGATGAGAGCACTCTGAAATCAAACAAGAAACGTGTTCTGAACATTTTAGTCTGCTACTTCAGTGAAGAGTTAGGTAGAAGTGTAACACACCTGTATGCATCAGTGGAGATGACAGTGGTGAACGCTGACACTGTGTATTCAGCAGTGATAAACAAATTCAAAGATGATGACATTTGTTTAACAAATATAGTGTCAGTCCTGTCCGATTCTGCAGCTTATATGCGTGGCAGCAAAAATGGGTTTCAAGCCAAGTTGAAGGAGTCTGTGCCTGAGATTCTAGATATTGATGGTGATGTTTGCCATCATCTTCACAACATTGTGAAAACATTCATGACACATCTAGATCCAGAAAATTACACTGCAAAGCTTCTTGGAGACATTCACAGAGACTTTTCTCTCAGTGCTGATCTTCGTGATGATATATGTCAGATTTCTTCTCTACTTGAAAAGCCTCCCCTCCTTCCAATTGAATTTGCTGGACACAGGTGGATGTCTTTGATGGATGCCACCTCTCGACTACTGGACATCTTGGACCAGATCACTTTGTTTTACTTCGCCTGGGCACCACAAAACAAGAAAGAGAAGTACTCCAAGATTGCAACAGAAATCATGAAGAAACTGCCTGCATGGAAAAGGTATCTGATCTTCAGCATTCTGAGAAAACTCAAAGCAAAGAACCTGACTATGTTTGGGAAGGCAAGGAAAAGCAGAATTGTGTGCAAGGTCTTTGAGAGTCGATCAAAGATGCTGTTTCTCTGCAAAGCTGTCAAGTTTCTAACACCCCTGTTCAAGAACTGTATTTTGGCACTGGAGAAAGGAATCCCCAAAGTCCACAAGCTGTATGACAAAATTCTGGAGGCCTTCACACAGTTTCTAGCCTGTTATGTCAAACCTGAAGTCCTGAATGCTCCAAGATCCTCTGTTAAGTCGATAGATCTGGAAAACAAGGACCATTACCTTCCTTCCAAGCAGATGACAGTAGGAAGTGAGAGCAGCTCTCTATTGAAAGACATGCCAGACTCAGATAGGAAGTCAATGTTAATGTTAGAGAAAGTCAACAAAGCCTTTGTCTGCACTGGGATTTATATGAAATCAAAGTTGCCTTTGGAAAACAAATTGATCATAGCCCTTTCTTCCCTGGATCCAATTGTCAGAAGACATTCCACAACCAAAGCTATGATGAAAGAGCTTAACAAACTCATCCACCTCCCTGAAACAGATGACTTTCTCAGACAACTGAACAGTTATCACATTGACAATGAGCTTCCAGATGTGGAGGCTTCATTTAAGCTTGAGCTTGATGAATTTTGGAACACAGTCATCAAAAAGTACCCAGCAATGACAGACATGGTGAAAAAATGCCTCAGTCTCTTTACTGGCCCCAAAGTTGAGCAAAGTTTCAGCCTTCTCAACAATGTCCTAGATAGCACCTCAAACAGGATGGCCATTTCTACAGCTGAGGCATATCAGAGAGTGAAGTATTTCCTGCTGGCAGAGAAAACCACTAGTGTCAGTCATTTTTACAGGGATGACATCAAGTTCAGCCCAGTAGATCAGTCTTTGTGCCACCACATACAGTCAGCAAGAGTCAGGGCCAACAAGAGGGCTGCTGAAGTGAAAAAAACAACACATTCTGAGTCTGCTCTTGCTAGGGCTGATGCTGAGAGACATGCCATTCTTGGGATTGTTGGAGCTACTAGTAAGAAGAGGCCAGCTGCTGATGGAACCCACAAACCAGCAAAAAGAATCAAGAAGTCTTTATGACTAGATCTACAGGTATGTTGAAGCTCAGTGATTTTTTCTCTGATTTTGATTCATCCACAGTGATCCTTTTACACAATAACACTTCATTGTGTTTTGTACTTTCTTACCTATTTTCGTCAATTTATTGCGGGTACTAAAGCCGACCGCAGAAAGTTCAGGGGGTTTTTTTTGGCCATGGGGCATCCCTGGTAACCCCAGACAATGCCTTTTGAAAAATTGATAAAATAAACACTATTTGGAGAAATTAGAGATGCAGTTTCTTTTTTTTTTTTTGAGAGCATTTCTCTCCTTACCGTGATGCATTAAAAAAAATTATGATAGCTTTCAGTCTTTTTGTGGTTAATACATCTATATACCCCAAAAGTGTTGGGTGAAAAATAGCTCAGGCTCAAGTGAGTTAATACTAGGGATAATCAGACGGGAAAGCATACCGGAGAAGACAACTCTATCCGCAGTCTTGGTCACGGTTTGGCAAAATGTCATTAAAAAAAGCATCTGTGCTAAAATGGCTGCTGTTGTTGACCAGTGCACACAGGTCTTCATGTGCCAACCTGCAGGAAACTTTTCTCAGTACCAGTAGTAGGTCTACTAGCGTGCCAGTTCACAAATCTCAGTGAAAGTTGCACTACTGTAATAATTGCAATGCAGATTTTTATGCCCACATCGACACAAATTAGGAGGTAGTTGGCTTCGATCCAGCATGCAAGGCCTATCCAGGCAGAGAGAAATGCAACATTTCAGCAGACGAAGATAGAGGATAAAAAAACTCCTGTAACATTTGAAACAATCTCAGGTCTTCTGCATGTAACTGCGAACAGTTTTATGTTTTAGTTTTACGGCACTTGCAACACAATAAGGTCATATAAGTGCCGAAGATTAGAAGTGTTACAAGAGAGTAACAAACACAAAAAAGGAGGAGAGATGAGGACGATAGATGTTTGATAGGAAAGAAGGAGCAAACCACATCATAGCACCCGCCAACCACCCACGAACTGAGAGTCCAACATTCAACCAACCTTTCTTGGCGGGACACAATATATGGATTGTAAAGCTCCGAGAATTGTACATTTAGCAAACTATCCACGCACCAGCTTTTTCGTAATCACAGATTCCAGCAAATGTTCTTTGCTCTATTAAAAAAACAGTGGTCATACAGTCAACCAAATATTCCCTGCGCCATGACTTTCCCCGCGCAAGTATATATCGAGAAAGACCTGCTAGGATGTTATAAGTACACTTGTAGAACTTCTGGTTTGTGCTGCTTCATCAGTAGACCTTCCCCAGCACCACGGCCTTCTCACAGATCTGTGTAAATGTCTGCTGTACCGTGGAGTACAGGCCCTCGTACTCAGCCGATGGTGACACAGGGCTGCCCAGTTTGGATACCTCCAGGCTCCTACTGGAATCTGAGGAAAGGTAGAAGAGACCATTCTGAGCCAGGGTGACTTTTATGCCCTCTTTAACACAATTACCGTTATACCGTTATACAGTATGACACGATATAGCTCGAGTTCGTCAAGACCAGCCTCTGTAGTTCGTGGGATATCTTACAAAGATAAAGAAAAAAAACCACCAAACGGATCGCAGGCACAGCTTGACCGATGCATGATTTCGAGTCTTCTGTGTTCGACCTATCCGTGTTATACAGTATATAATCTATGCTGACAATCCGAAAAAAAATAAGGTAGGCCTACCACTTTTTCATTGTGTATAAAATGATAAAATCTAGTCTTTTGAGTCTTTACACTTTTTCTTTCACGTGAGTAGTAATATGTACAGTCCATGCCTGCTTTAAGCACGATCATCAGGAGAAAGTATAAGCGTGCTTGAGTGCAAAATAGACATAATCCGCAGCTTTTCATGTAGAAAATTTCCCTTTGTTTGTAAGTCGTGGTCACGCAAAAGTGTGCGCTGTCATTTTTACCCACCATTGTAGTTTTTGTTCGTTTGTTTTGTTTTTCTTAATTTAAACGGCCAGTCACGATACAGCACACTAGGCCTACACACAGCCTGTGTGTATCACTGCCCGCTGCGTCACAACCATAAAACTGCCTTCATCCCACTTCGCGCGTGATACATAAATTATAATCAGGATTAATGGATATCGAAGGTCACAGGTGAAATCGCTGCCAGCCTCTCTTTCTCGTCTCACCGACTCTCTTTGTATTTTTTTTGTCTGTGTGTAGCTTTGCCCAAGGCTAGATCCTTTGCCCACGCGCGCGGCTGAGAGCTCCTCTCCGCGTGAGTGTGTGTCAGTCCATTACTTCCGTTCTTCATGTTTCTCTTTTAACACACTCACTACTGCGGTGTAGACTGTGTTTGAACTTCGATGGGTCATCATGAAAGTGTTGACTGTCTTGTAACTGAAGCGTGCCTAAAGCCGAAGTTACCGTGCTTAAAGGCGTGTAATTTTGTAATTTATATACAGTGGAAACCTGATATAACAGGGATGGTGGGAGTAGAGAAAATGTCCAGTTATATCCGATCCCTGTTAAATCAGAAATGCAAGGAAAGTAAGCATTTGTGGACTAATCCAGCCGTACTTATTCATGGGTAGTTTCCCTAGACACAAGTACCCACGCACAGAGGTTTTGGCACCAATTTTCTCCTTGCCTCCTTAAACCACATCAGAAGAGCTTGGTCCACAGCATCTGCATCAGGTAGTCTCATCTTCTTTCAATCCAGAGCAAACTGTCCATTGGAGTATGCTGCCACTATTTTCTCTCTATCCTTGATAATGGTGTGAATCGGCCCTTGTGGAAAGTCGAACTGACGGCAAATCTCTGCCTGTCGAGCTTGCTTTTTGTTAACAGCCTGGATTATTTCGTATTTTTTGTTAATTGAAAGGCATTTTCTCTTGCGCTTGGCATCGTTGGTGACACATTACGCGTGCGTGTTGCTAGGTTTTGGGCTAGATCGAGGTCTGCAGCACACTGCAGCCCTCTCTCGCTTCACACGCTGCGTGTGCTTGAAGTGGCATGGCTTGCGTGGGCTTGCTCCATCAATGCGTTACTCTCTCTCTCTCTCTCTCTCTCTCCACATTGTTAACGGGCCTTTGTCCCTGCTATAACCGGTTGGGCTCAGATGAGGCCCTGTTATTGCCGATAACTTTTAATTGAGACAAAGAGTAGGAAAAAACGGGGATTTAAAAAATCCCTGCTATTACCGGATCCCTGTTATTACCGGGCCTGTTATATATGGTTTCCACTGTAGCAAAAATTCGGTAAGAGCCGTTTAGCGTGCTTGAGTCCGAAACGTGCTTTTATGCCGGTGTGCTTAAAGCCGGCACGGACTGTACTCTAAAAGGTAGGCCATGTTATTATTAATAACATTTTGGTGCTTCAATTAGTGTTCACAGCTCCAACATATAATAATAAAAAATTATCACCCACCCCCCAGCCATGTGGCTTTTTTTTCCTATTCTTTTTTTAATGAAGTTCAGGCCAGTGTAGTAATGTATAACCCTCAATGCAATTTGATCATTGTCACCCAAGATAGTACATTTAACTCCTCATCAGTGAAATCGAGCAATTGGCTTGCTCGGTGTATATATCTGCTGTTGCTAGGATATTCAACGTCTGTTTTTCTGTAGTCCAACATGATACAGTGGAACTCGGATTCAACGAAGTCGCCGGGCCTGACCTAAAATCTCGTTGAATCCAAGTGTTCGTTATAGTAAACATGAGATTTTGTGTAGATAATTACAGGCACTGAGCAAGTAATTTATAAAGAGAAGTAACAAGTGGTGCCTGAAATGCCAGCATATTATGAGCCGTACAAAGAAAAAGACCGATTTGTTCAAATGCACGTCTGTGTCTTCCGGATTGTTTGCCAAAAAGTTGTGTTGCTGTGTAGGTAGAGTCTTGCATAGCATACGGCAACTTGAGATTCCATGGACCAGCGCAAAATTCATTGCGTAGATCTACATCAAGACTAGCTTATCATTGCAAAATGATCAGTTGCCGGGGGGAAAAAAGACTGACGCGTTTGTATCTGCGACGTTCCATGCCCAGACCGCTGGTGCCCCCTGACACACACACACACACACACAGTCACACGTGGGCAGGCCGCCCATCCGACCCAGACACACACGGGCCAACAACGCAGGTGTTGGGTAAGAAAGAAGGCCGCTGATTGGTCGCATGCAATCGGTTAAGTGAATAATGGTTCACAATGCAGGTGCAATGAATGGTTTCCGGGAATAGACAAAGTTCGTGGTGGGAAAAAAAATGAGCGAAGCCACGTCTGCCGGGGGCTGTTCACCCTAGAAGCGACCATTGTTGAATCCGAGCTTGCTGATGTAAGTGCTTGTTGAATCCGGGATATTTTTATTTATTTTAAAGAAGGAAAAAATGGGGAATCCATCTCCTCTCGTTGAATCCGAGCTCCACTGTACTGATATGAACTATGATAACAATGAGCCTAAAGTATACCCATCCGGTGTGGTTTGCTTCTTCTTTTTTATCAACCCTTTATCGTCCTTATCTCTCCTTTTTTGTGTTTGTTACTCTCTTGTAACACCTAATTTTCGACACTTATTGTGTTTCAACTGCTGGAAAAACTTATTCAAACTTAAAAAAAAAACAACTCACTTGTCTTGGCTGCATTCCCTACCACAGTCATGTGGGCATAGCAGACGCGGCCAATCTGAGACAGCAGCGACGTCGACTCGTCGCAAAGGGGAGGGAATGCTTCGCATATCGGGAGAAGACTCGGCACAGTTTGACGAAAGAACGACACCCACTCACTCTTCTCCAGCACTGAGGAGGAATAGCAAGAGAGATATAAGATATAATGGGATTTACCATGCTGCAGTATTCAAGTAAAGCACCCAAATTATCCACAGAGTTGGACAATAACTGTAAAATTTCACAGCATAGGAGCATTTCATCTTCTAAGAGTGTATTTGTTAGCTGATTTTTTAAGTTAAAATGGAACATTTTGTATACAGTATACTGTTTCAACACAGGTAGACCTATTCACCTTTTAACTTTAAGCCCACTATTTATTTACTCTAGAAAATAATGCTAAAACATGCTGGCACTATGATGGTGTGCATAGTAAAAGCCAGAAAACAAGCTGGGGAGGACGGGTAAAAAAGCAATCAAGCCTTCTAACACTCCTTACCGAGAAAAACTTACAACAATAATTTGCACACGCTGTAGTCAGCACACATTCTACATAGTTTCACCAGAATCTAAGGAGTAATGGTTACGCTCTTCTCCGTTGCATGCAGGAGTTATAAGCTCAATTCAAATGTGGGGGATGAATTTTATTGAGTATCTTAGTCTATCTTCTGGGAAGTTGTGTCCCTCTGAGCCTGGGAAGAATGAATGTCCCCCCTGACAGGCAGGGTGAAAGCAATCCGCCTCCTACATGATCTAAACTGTGTCTCTGACAATGGCAAAACAGTATCCAACATAGAGCTTTCCGAGGGTTGAAAGTGGCATTTCCTCATTGCCACTATTCACTTTGTCATCACTGACAAATCCGGGAACACCAATCTTGAAGATACAATCATCAAGCCAGTACTCTAATGTTACGCACTCGATTGTCAAACGCCAAAACCACTTCCACTTATCGTTTTTATTTTAGCATCAGTTGCACCACAGCCTTATCCTGCTGCCGTAGACTTTATTGCATCAGACACCTCCCCTCAATTCCGAAGCCCTGCAACTCTCCTACTTTGAATGAACTTTGATTACCCCAACATGCAAAATGCGGCTTGCGGTAGGAAAAGTGTTAAGTAAAGAGTGAACTTTGGACAAAATAGCCCTGAGGCAACGTATCGCTAAGATCTAGAAAGGGAACTCAAAGAAGAAGATCTACTCACCCGAGAGCAGAGTGAACATGATGTCGATGCCCAGTTTGGCGATGTTCATGGACTTGGGCAGGTGGTACTGGCGGCATAGCTGGGCCAGCAACTGGACTCCAAACACCTGGAAACACACATTGTGGGGGGTACGCGGGGCAGTTTGGTCAAAATTAAACTCAAAGTCGAAGCAAACAAAAAAGCAACAGACAGTCTGCTACCTTAGAATTACACAGTTTTCTATCTGCTCAGTATCTGGTTTTTGGGAAATTTGATATTAAAAAATTGTGAATTTCACATCATGTCAAGTTTTTTCACGCATGCAATTCTTTGACGACTCCGAAAAATCTCACGATTTTGATAGAGCATTTGATTTCTGACCTCATGGTCCTAGTCATTCTTTACTTTACTTTTCCGATCCAGCGGCCATTTGAGTTCTAGCTCTTCGGCCTGTCCAAGTTATTCAAAACGGCCAAAAATGTCAGATAGAATTTTGTACGATAACTCTACTAAGTTATTGCACAATCCGCTTTTTTACACCCTTTTTCTTGTGCTTTTTCTTTAAATTGGGCCTCTCATAGCTTAATGAATTTAATCTAGGGGATAGAGAACTGGAAGCAGATAGACAAAAACCAAAAACAAGTAAGAGTGGCAGGCCGTACCTGTTTGTTGCGCTGCGGTTGTCCCAAGAGCTCCGGGATAAAGTCCAGACAGATGTGCATGGAGGGGACTCCAGCCACCACCAGGGGGATCAGCTCACTCGGGTAGCCCTGAAACACAACACAACATGGCAGATCTACAGTCAAACCTGCTCCAACCAACACCCGTTCAACACCAGTACAAATGACTACTTCCAACATCTTCCCTTGCATTACCCAAAAAAAAAACCCCAATATATATATGTGAGGCATTGCAGTGAAATCAGGTGCTGGTCAAAATAATGAAACCTGAGTTTTTCAGCCAGTTTGGAAGTTTTTAAAAAATTTCCTTTTTGGCTGAACACCTTGTACTTGTATGTCCATTTAAAAACACTTTTATGTGTGGAATCCAGTTGTTGTTTTTTGTAGACATTCACATTTACTTTTGATTTTGATCTACCAAAACTCATGTTGGTTACTTTGATTGCAATGAGCATACCAACAATGTATTCCATGATATTTTTATAGCTGTAGGCTTCTTGCAAATTCTGCTAATTTTCCTTGCAACTTTTGCTATTTTCAAATGCAACTTCTTCCGGGGACAGAAAGTTATTTGTGTTATTTTAAAGGTTATTCATTTGTCTTGCTGCTTTTGATTTTAAAAACATTCATTTATCTTGAAAAGAAGTAAATATATTTGTTATTTAAGGAGATGGGAGTCGCCTAGTTTCAGAAGTAAAATTAGCGAGAAAATGGCCTTTAAAGTTTGGTGACTTCCATAGTTTTTGTTCTTGACCAGTGTTTGTAGAGTACAGTAGTCTCCGCCTAAACGCACGGTGCTCGGGAGGGCTCCTTAACGTGTCTTTATACGGAGCGTGCGTTTACTTGAACCTTTGCAAGGGGAGGAAGGGACGCAGTCATCTCAGTTCCTTATTACATTGTACTCTAGTGATCTCCCTTGGAGGAGGGGGTCATTTTGGCAGATAATGTGACGAGATGTGACTGTTTTGTGAAGGATTCCCCGACAGGGGTTAAGAATACAAAGGTGTTGAACGGGGGGGGGGAAGAGAAACTCAATGTAATGAATATGCACTATAAACGTCAGGAACAGATAGCCTAAGAGGAAACTGTTGGAGATAGTCTTAGTCATAGACACGACGGACCAGCCATGTGGCTTTCCAAGCGACCACCCCCGACCATAAATTCATGCAGAATCATCCTCGAGAAACATTTTCTCTTGTGATTCGTTGAACAAGTACGTTATAAGTTCTTCGAGCGCAGCTTACTAGGCCTACTTGGCTAATCTTTAATCCGATAGAGGCCTGTATAGTGTTTTACGGCAATCACATGCGTTGCGCATCAAGCCTAGATCTAGATCTAACTACAGTGGAAACCATATATAACAGGCCCGGTAATAACAGGGATCCGGTAATAACAGGGATTTTTTAAATCCCTGATTTTCCCTACTCTTTGTCTCTATTAAAAGTTATCGGCAATAACAGGGCCCCATCAGAGCCCAACCGGTTATAACAGGGACAAAGGCTCGCTAACAATGTGTAAAAAGTAAGAGAGAGAGAGAGAGTAAAGCAGTGATGGAGCAAGCCCATGCAAGCCATGCCACTGCAAGCACATGCAACGTGTGAAGCGAGAGAGGGCTGCAGTGTGCTGCAGACCTCGATCTAGCCCGAAACCTAGCAACACGCACGCGTAATGTGTCTACTGTCACCTACGAAGTCAAGCGCAAGAGAAAATGTCTTTCAATTGACCAAAAAACCCCCCCGAAATAATCCAGGCTCTTGACAAAAAGCAAGCTCCACTGGCAGAGATTTGTCTTCAGTTCAACATTCCACAAAGGTCGATTCAAACCCATATCAAGGATAGAGAGAAGATAGTGGCAGCATACCCTAATGGAAAGTTTGCTCTGGATCGAAAGAAGATGAGACTACCCGATGCAGAAGCTCTTCTGATGTGGTTTAAGGAGGCAAGGAGATAGTTGGTGCCAAAACCCCTGTTCATTGGTACTTGTGTTAAAGGAAACTACCCATGAATAACTACAGCTGGATTAGTCCACAAATGCTTACTTTCCTTGCATTTCTGATTTAACAGGGATCGGATATAACAGGACATTTTCTCTACTCCCACCATCCCTGTTATATCAGGTTTCCACTGTAAACATTACACGCAGTCACTCAAACTCAAACAACAGTCAGAAACTTTCTCTCAAAGATACATTTCCAGTGACCAATCAAAAAACATTTCAGTCCCCCCAATCCCATCCACCCCCCCCCCCCAACATTCAACCGGCCAGCCCTAGACCGAGACCTATGCGTCAGTGGAAAGTAGGGTGTGTACTGTAAACGCAGTCCATCACTCTCTTTGTACAGCGTGAGGGGCACTCTCACCAAATATCCGGTTTTCTAGTACATTCTAGGCTAGTCTTATGTAGGCTGTGCAGGTTGTAGTGAAAATTTACCCTTGCCAAGCTTAACTTGTCGGTGTGTTTCGCGGATCGGAGCGTTCGTTTAGAGGGAGTGACCGTGCGTTTGTATGTCTAAATCATATAGTAAAAAAGCCGTCAGATGACGAAAGCATGCGTTTGAGCGGAGCGTGCGTTTAGGCGGAGACTACTGTGCTCAATTTGTCCTATTTTAGTTACAAACTTATGAATAAATGATTGTCTATTTAAAAACGGCACGGCAGACTCTCCAAAATCTGGCTTAAACTGACTACAAGTATCATATCTTTTACCATGAGAAATCTTAAATTTGCGCAAGTAATAAGGATGTTGTAAGAGAAGAAAGATGCACATCTGAATTTGTTAAATAAAGACACTCAACATTAGCTCTTGATTTACCATTGAACAAGAGAAAGTTACTTTGCGTTGGTTCATGAATCATGATGTGTCTGTGGCAGCCTGCATACAACTAAGAAAGACATTAAGAGTTTGAAAAAAACAAAAAACACTGTGTAAACACAGAAGTAGAGACTAACGTCTTGTATGGAATAAAAATAATGATAATGACAGCTAAAACATTCATTTTTAGTATTTGTGTCGGAAATATGCGCGGACACTTATAAATGTAAAGAAATTAGAACATTGTCAATTATTGCAAATGGTCATAGAAACGAATATAAAATACCTACAAACTAACTTGTCTAATGTCTTGAACTGAAACTGAAAGAACTTTTAACTTCAACAAAAAACCCAACCCCAGAAAACCCTCTCCTCCCTTGACCTCTGACCTGGAAGTGCACCAGCTTGGCCAGGTTGGGGTCTGCGATGAACACCTGGTGGATGTGTGAGAAGACCAGGCATCGCACCTCGCGGAGGTCGCACAGCTCCGTGTGTTCTTTGCCCTGAAACACACAGCACAACACCCCCGTCAGTACTGAGAAAACCTAATTCTTCTCACCTTCAATCATATACAGTCGAACCTGCCTTAACGGAAACCTGAGTAAAACGGACACCTGTCTTAACGGAATCTCCCCGCTCCCCCCTTGATATATTCCTCTTTAATTACCTGTATAAAACGGAAACCTGTCCAACGCGGAAACAGAAAGAAATATCCGCTTCCTTCCGAGGGTTTCACCTGTCTAAGATGGAAAATGCTTTGCCCGCTCAGCCCTGATTTGAAACAAAACTCGCAAGTTTGGTTCTGCCAGCTCTAAACTTAACGCCATGGCCATGCCGCTGGACGAGAAAGGGGAGTAGGGGTGCACTTTGGGGGTAGATGTTACCCCATCATGTGAGCCCTGAGCGATGCAGATGGTTAGTGTAGTGTGGGTGTGAAATCTCATGACTGCCTGGGAGAGTGCTCAAAGTAACGAGCCACTACATTAACTTTCCTGGGTAGCCAGAAGCCAGAGGTGTAAAATTAATTTGACTAATGCCTGCCGCCCTGATCGTACGCCAACCAAGAAAAGAGTTCCTCGAATCGTTGTTACATGATGGCAGTGAGGGGTGGCATTGGTTGACTGTGCTTGTTACACCAATGGGTGGGGGGCTAAGGGTGGAAGCAAAGGAGAATCAAACGTTTCTGTTTTTAATAGGTCAAACAGTGGTCCTATGAAAGGCAAGCACTGGTGGTAATTGGATAAGTAAGAGTGACGTATGTCATTATCAGACAGGATAGCAGTTGAGATGTGTGAAGTTTTGACCACTGCTTGCCTGTCGCACAAGCTATCCTTGATTCCATCGGGACCATCGGCTGGGCCTTTGACATCCCCCCCTCCATCTATCCCCCTAAATTCCCCTGTCTAAGACGGAATTTTTTCTTGCTCCCTTGCGATTCCGTCTTACACAGGTTCGACTGTATATGAGAACTAGACAAAATATTCTGAAAAACACTGAAATATCAGGAGCAAACCTGTCTTGACTCTTTTTCATAAATTCCAAGTCTTTGCAGAATCTACAGAAGAAGAGAGTTGTCTCCGCAGTTTTATGCAAAAATAATTTTGAAATTATACAAAATGAGGCAAAAAATGTGAAATTATGTGATTCTGTTAATTTTAACAAAGAATGATAAAGGAAAATAATCAGAAATTATGCCCTCCCAAAAAATCAAATTTGGCTAAATTATGCGGGGTGCATAAAACCACAGTGACAGGTAAAGAAATCATCAAAAATATGATTTTTAAAAACGGTCTATAAAGGTTATACTGCAAGACTCATCTAACTTTCACATTTTAGTAAAAGTTTTACGGCACTTGCAACACAATTATGTGACATAAGTGCTGTAGATCAGAGGTGTTATAAGAGAGCAACAAACTCAAAAAAAAAAAAGGAGAGATAAGTGCGGAAGATGTTTGATAGGAAAGAAGGAGCAAACCACATCAGAGCACCTGTCATCCGCACAAAGTTAATTCCAATTGTTTGTTTTAGTAGAGGTTTTACGGCGCTCGCAACTGCATATAAGGTCATATGAGTGCCAGAAGATAAGAGGTGTTACAAGAGAGTAACAAACATAAAAAAGAAGGAGGGGAGATAAGGACGATAGATGTTTGATAGGAAAGAAGAAGCAAACCACACCAGAGCACCCGCCAACCACCCACAAGTTAATTCCAAGTCTTTGCAGAATCAATAGAAGTAGAGATCATCTATACCATGATTTAAAAAAGTTCTACAAAGGCCACCCCGTAAGCTGTAAGACTCGTCCCTTAACGTTCACAAAAATTAGCAAATTAATAACAGATAAGGTGCACACATGCAAAACACTTATAAAAACAAAACAAGGAAATGTGGACAGCTCTTTCAAGTGGATGAGAACACAAAGGGAAACGTAAAAGAAACCCTACTAACTTTTAAGGATTCAAACATTAAAATGTAGGTTCCTCTGCGAAACACAAAGCTGATGTAAGCTAAGGTCTGTCTTGGAACACCATTGCTTTTGGGTCAGTCTCGAACAAATTTGAATGACAAATTTGATATAACGAGGAGTTGCAGACCCGTTTCTATGACTCAAATGTAATAAGCTGCCATGAGCAGATTGGGCTAATATGAAATGGATCTGATATATACAGAGAAAAAGAGCCATTTTCAGATACATAAAAATAAAAGAGACTCAATCTTCGCATTCAGTAGTAAAAACCTTGTTTCACGCAATAATCATCATAATCTCATAGTGTCTTAACTGGCCAGACCTGTAAAGATCCTCTAAATAATGTGACACTTCGAAATGTTAATTTGGTATAGCTTTGGTTCAAGATGTTAACTCACTTGCGACTGGGCCCTTTCACCAGCCACAAGCGTTGAAGACTGGCGTTTTGGGGGGTATTTCAATAAATCACCACAACTCTCAGAATTACCCTATTGTAATCATTTTTTGACATAGTAAAGTAACATTCAAGCTTAATCTAATACAAAAAACTAAAGTTGTCTAAGTCTAATACTTTAATTTGTATGATTTTTTTAAAATTGGCATGAATTTGATTTTCGAAAAATTTCCAGAGACGTGACAAGTAGAATGAAATTCACTGCAACAACAAAAATAAAAGTTCAAAGTGTTCTGGTTTGATTTGTATACATGTGCAAGTGTTTGGTGAAAATATAAAAGCTGGTCTGTGCATTGATTCAGACCCATACACTGAATTACATGAGACAGATGTACGGCACGACGTTGTGATTTCGTTGCGCGAAAAACAACACCGGTACTAGTGCTAGATCTAGCCCTAGAACTACGACTCGGGCCGTGTTCGGGTACATATCCAGGATCCTAACTATTAGACACATCATATTCTGAGACACTAGAACTAGTAAAACGCACAGAAGTATAGAAAACGGCGAAATTATGTGATTCTTGTTCATGCGACTTCTTCGACCGTTACTACGACGCGACTGTCGGATTACTATGAGCTGTATAGAAAAAAACAAAGCGCGAGTTCCGGTCTGTTCAACCCCAGTCTGGGTCACTGTCCTTCACCTTCAATAACTTAAAAACTACCGGCCCCAGAGATACGAAACGAAGTCTAAGTAGCTCAGGCTTGGCCAAACAAGGGTACGAAGCGGGTCTCGCGATCCGTGCGTGATTTGTAGAGCGAAAAAAAAATTCCAAAGTTGGTCACGCAGGGCTTGTGAGACCCGACGCGAGCGTCATGGCGGGGGTCACGCAACTGTTGTGTGACCCGTCTGAAGTGAGTTAAAACAAATTAAGATAAACATACATTCTGCAGTCAAACGAAGGAAAAAAACACAAACACCCAGTGAAAAGAATATCATAAACCTTACAGAAACAGATAGATAATGCTTTTATCCTTACCATTTCCGACCCGAGAGGCAAACACACTTCTAGAAGAATCTGAACAATGGCACTGTCTTGTGCTGCCAGTAAGGCTATTTTTAGCTCCTGCCGATCCTTCTCTTTGTCGGTGACTGCTGCATCTAGCATGTGTGAGTTGAGGTACACGCGACAGGCTTGCATGTAGGCAGCCAGGATGCGCAGCACAATCTCTAACACTGGGGGGCATCTGGGGGGAGTAGGTAGAGAGTAGTTTAGTGAAGAGAAACTAATACAGAGTTTGAGTAAGGAGAAACACATAGATAGTTTGGATAAAGAGAAACACTTAGAGAGTTTGGATAAAGAGAAACACATAAATAGTTTGAATAAAGAGAAACACATAGAGAGTTTGGATAAAGAGAAACACATAGATAGTTTGAATAAAGAGAAACACATAGAGAGTTTGGATAAAGAGAAACACATAGATAGTTTGAATAAAGAGAAACACATAGATAGTTTGAATAAAGAGAAACACATAGATAGTTTGAAAAAAGAGACATTGACAGAACACCATTAATTTAGTGCTTGTTAGTTTGTTCGAGTACATAGAAGCACATTGACAAAATAATGGTCATTTAGTGCTTAGAAAAAGTAAGACATATAGACAGAAACAACCAATGGGACGTACCGGTGGTGCCCTCCAACCACCAATTTAATTTAGTGCAGGAAAAATGCAGAACCAACAAAGGGGGGAAAATAAGCAGGACCTTCCAGAGTTGCACTCTATCCATCTGCACAGGAGACACAAGACCTGAATAGTCTAAGGCTTACAGTAAAAATAGGTAGCGTAAACACGGCCTCGCGACCTTCCGACCGCGTGGTATCGGTGAAATCGGAGTAATTCCGATCGTTGTTTCTTTGCTCTTTTGCTATAAAACACCAAATGCCGTACACCTAGTAAAAGTTCAGCTTTTCCTCGTTACAATGGTGTGAGTTGTTTATAGGTCCTATTATCAGGAGCAGGAGAATCGCCGAGGAAAGCGAAGCCCCTCGCAGTCAGAATGCATGGTCGGCCGGTTCAAAAATTGACACGCGTGCATTCAAATGCTTCGCGGAACGTGGGATGATTAAATACCATCTTTTCATTGGCGGAGAACTGTGGAGCTTTAAACGGGCTTTCCCGAGGTATATTTTTGGCCTTTGGTGTTTAAACAGAAAGTTACAGTATAGAGTCGACTCGCTCACTGTGGGGGCTGGTGTGGCGCCAGCCGGGTCAACGCTCAGTGTTTTTGTCGAAATAACGACAGATCATCGTGTTTGGTGAGATAAAATACTGATTTGTAATGATCTCAGTCTTGAAAAAAAATAGGCTCCATATATTTGTTATAGTGATTGTGCTCTGTTAATGTGGATATGTTTAGTGCACTTGGTACTTTTTTATTACCTGTCAAACATGGGGTTGCAGCCAGTGACTGACTTCAAACAAATTTGATCAAAATTTAAACAATTACTATTTTCTTAAAAATTGACAGAGATTAAAGAATGGTACCAAAATGCTCACTGGATATAGGCCTTTCAAATGGAACAGATAAATTTGGCATACAGCTACTTTGAAAATTTAGTTTCTGGTACCTAATAAAAAGCAGATGAGCTGTCACTGAGTTGAAGTTTCCAGCATTTGAGGATAAACGCCAGACAGTACAAAGAGTTGTGGACACAGTGCCATCACAATAGACAGTTATGTGTATGTTGTAGAGGTCAACATTTAAGGTACTCATCATCTGGAGGGTAAGGGGGAGTGAGAACAATAAATATACCCACCACCCACTAGCAAGAGATGAGGATTGTGTGTGTGTGTGTGTGAGAGATGAATGTGAGAGTCAGGGATGCCAAATTATTTTGGAAAAAAAAATAAAAAATGAGTGGAGCATCACATCTCACCTAAAACAAACCTTGTAAAGTTTTAAAATGAGAACACAAAAACATCTCTCTTACCTCTCCCCTTTCCTTTGAACGTGTATGGGGACTTTGTTTAATCAATACTAGTAATATTATATCTGTCTTGAGAAGAAGGACCTTATGTCAGTGGCCTTCTTCTTCAGGGACGCCAAATGATTTTTGAAAAAAAACAACTGAAAAACCTGAGATTTGGCATCCCTGGTGAGTGCGTGTGTCTGTTTCACACCCACATGATACACCACACACAATCCTCATCTTGCTAGTCTGTGTGTGTGTGTGTGTGTGTGTACGAGCAGGGGGCGGGGTTTAAATAGTGAATTTCATACTACCACCATCGAGCGAGCATTCATGGTATCAAGGCGTGAAAGACTGACCTGAATACCCTCTCGTCACAGCGCAGCACCACCAGCGGGTCCACCACAAGGTCCTGCTCCGTCAGAGGCTCCGGGCGACCCTCGGGCTGCAGAACGTTCACCGTGCTCAGTCGAAGTCTGAGGGGTTCCACAATTTGTTTGAGTGAAGAGAAACCCATCCACATAATAAAGGTCATGGAAAAAGCAGACAGGAACAGGGTGAAAGAAAAGAAGTAGGACCTACTAATGTCGCCCTTCAGCCTCCCACTGAAGTGAATTTTGAGTTGTTTGGCGGTTTGTTTGAGTGAAAAAAAATGTATCCACATAATAACAGCCATTTCATGCAGGCAAATAGCAAGGTAGAGAGACAGGAACAGAATAAAAAAGAAGTAGAATCCACCACTGGCACCCTTCAATCACACACTAGGTGAATTTCGAGGGGTTTGTTTGAGTGAAGAGAAGCACATCTACACATTTCACGATGGGAGAAATTATGACAGACAGACAGATAGAAACAATAGAAGGAAAGAAATGAAGTAGGACATACCAGAAGCAGCCTTCAAACACCCAAAAGTCTTAAAGACGAATCAAAACACAGACACGAGTCATAAAACAAATAATGGAGTGATACCAGTTTGACAACCCCATCCCATACACACCGTAGGTTTTTCAATGGCAAAGGACCTCCAAACTTTAAATCTGTCACAGAATGGACCCAGACAAGACAGAGGAGAACCTTGAAATCTTCCCAAACAATCCTTCAGTTCAAGAATGCCAATTTGGGGATTTAACCCACAGACAACAGCACCATAATTCAGCATGATACCATGCTGTGTCCCAAAAATAAGCAATATTATGAAGTTAACACCAGAAATATCAAGAGGTACATTTTCTTCTTTTTTGCTGCAAAGACAGAGCAGAACTGTTAAGCAAAATCTTAAAGTCGCGAGTAAAAAGACAATAAACAGAGAGCAATGTCATATCTGCCCCTTGCCCTGATGCAACACTTCAACAACATGAGTGAAGAAAAATAAAATTGATCAATTTGATACATACTTTCTTGGTGTGAGAGCATGTAGCCGGAACCACGTGGCTTTGACCAGATCTACCAGTCGGCGTGGAGTACCTGGCCGTAGCATGGCTGGGATACCTGCAAGCACCGCGTCCTGGCACTCCTGTAGAGACGCCAGGTTGGCTTGTGAGGAGAGTTCCTCTAGCAGCCTAATAGCCTCGGCAGGGTGACTCTGAGCTCGGGAAAATGCTGCAAACGTATTCACAAAAAAATACATATTCCCTCCACTTCCCAAGAAGTCCCAACAATTTAAAATGTAATATTTTACAGAATAAAACAAGCATTTTAATACTCTCTTTGTCAAAAAAAGAGGTGGTAACTGTTTAACGCTCCTATCAACACTATTAGTTTATTTAAGAGGCGGGACCTCCAAGTTCAGCGTCCATAAGGACTGAGCTAAACGAGAAATTAGTGTAAAGTGCCTTTCCCAAGGACACAACGTTAGACTCTCTTTGTCAGTGAACAAATTCAGAAAAAATTTTTAAAAACCTCTCACTGTCCAGTAAATATTGACACAGTTATATTTGCACCAATTTGGCTGCAGAGTTGGAAAAAAAAGGAAATTATACATATATTTGGTAACAGGAAAAAACAAACTAATCAACATAAGGGAAAACAATAGAAAATACAAAAAACATCAGAAAAATTCCCAGTCAGATTTAGATTTTCACCTTCTTTTATTCCAAGAGAAATATTTTTAAAAGTGGAAAGTCAAATTTTCAATTTTCTTGTTATTTTTGCCCAAGGAAGAGCTCGACTCACCTTGCTTGACATCATCAGCTCTCACTGTTACTTTCGTCTTCCCAGATTTCCTCTGGGCAGAGGCCGAGTCTGAGGTCATGAGCCCAACGTGGGCATCCAGCCAGTCCTCCACCAGACAAAGGTGTGGGAAGTGGATGCTCAAAAGTCTGGGGGTGGGGGGGTAGTTAAAAATTTTATTTTTAGGTTTTAATATTTTTTTAAAAACCGTCTATACTTCTCTTAGCTGCATTTAAAAAAATACCCATCAGTAATTTTTGTAATAGTATGAGTTTTAAGCCTTCATCAACATAATTTCCAAAATCTAGGACGCACATCTGCGAAGTTGCCAACAATGGCCCCATACAACAATTAAATCATGCTGTGCAATGTGCGTCATAAGGCCCTGGGCATATTTAAAATCAGCCGATTTTATACGGTATAAGGTCACCCAGTTGCCTGTTTTATTCCCTACATGGTACATCACATCATGTCGCAGAGCGGTTACGACATGATGTTCCAAACTTTAATACTAAGATTACAAAAAAATAATCGAAAAGTGGCTCATCCTGTCTCCCCCCCCCCCCCCCCCCCCCCCCCCCCCCATTGTTTTCAAAATTTCATAATCTTCTCTTCTGAGACAGGAAAGGTACCTGATCATGGGTGGGAAAAGGTTCTGGCAGTTGTTCCTCTGCTTGAGCGCCTCCTGCACCAGGTAGCTGATGGGGATCTGGGACATGACCGTGTCGCTGTACAGGGACAGTTTGGTCACATCTGACCGGCACCATGACCGCGGGGTGAGACAAGGGCGTGATGGGGAGGGAGAATTGAAGAAATAGGTCAATAAATCAACTGCTCGGTGAAAGACTTTTTGTTTTATTAAATGTATTACAGCACTCGCAACACAATTAGATCATATAAGTGTTAAACATTAGAGGGGACTCAAAAGAGTAAAAAACACAAAAAAGAAGGAGAGATGAGGACGATATTTGTTTGATAGAAAAGAAGCAGCAAACCCACCAGAGCACCCTTCTACCACTCACATGTAAGACTCTGTTACACGTCACTTTTCAACACTGCGTATGTCGCATTCTTCCACTAAGCAGTCCAAATGATCTACAAAATGATCTACATTGTAAACTAAGAAAACATTGCAAAGAAACACATCATCCTACAGCATTGTCCAAACGAGAAGGGGGCATAGCTGTTATTGATGGTGTTATGCACTAACCACGTAACTGGATGAAATATATGTCCAACTCTAGCTTTGTTCTAAAACCAAAGATAAAATTAGACCAAAGACTGTCTCGTGTACATAGCACTCCACAGATAAAGTTAGGCCAAAGACAGTCTCGTGTACATAGCACTCCACAGATAAAGTTAGACCAAAGACAGTCTCGTGTACATAGCACTCCACAGATAAAGTTAGGCCAAAGACAGTCTCGTGTACATAGCACTCCACAGATAAAGTTAGGCCAAAGACAGTCTCGTGTACATAGCACTCCACAGATAAAGTTAGGCCAAAGACAGTCTCGTGTACATAGCACTCCACAGATAAAGTTAGGCCAAAGACAGTCTCGTGTACATAGCACTCCACAGATAAAGTTAGGCCAAAGACAGTCTCCAGTACAGCAGATCATATAGTAATAATACCCAATTTCTCTGAAAAACAAAAACAACGTAATAGCGTTAGAATAAGCTTAACACTTAAAATTCAAACTACAACCCAAAAGAAATTTAAAAAAAAAAAAATTTACCTATCAATTTCTTATGGGTGTGGTAGAGATCCTCATACAAGAGAAGATAATACAAAATAAGAAGCTGGGGACACAGTAGCTTCCCCTGTGAGTCTGCATCCTCCGACTCCTCAACCCGCGACTTTCTCTTCCTGCCCGCTTTCAACTTCTTGTCCGAGTGGAACAGGGCGAGAATTTCCTCCTCCAGGATGGGTTCGTTCGTGTGTTCTGGTTTGTTTGTCTTGGGAATGATGGAGTTGACGTAGGACTCGATGAGCTGCGGGAGGAGCGGGTGCAAGGGGAAGACACTGCTGCTGATCTGACGAATCACCCATTTCTGTGGAACCACAACAACAGAGAGGGGGGGGGGGGGGCATCATTAATAAACAACCACAGAAATCTTTGTTTCAGTACACAGGACCATTATTCAAGAGCTGGGAAAGGGCAAGACAGACAAAAATAACGGATTCATACAAATAGCTTGATCTTACAATCAACAACAAATTTACATGGCAAAATCACGTAAACAATATCATTAAAAGGGTAAATCACGGGCTGTACTTTCGGGGAACATTTTGGCCCTTCAATCTGAATTCATTAATCTTTCAGATATTCCACACCACCACTAAAGAAACTTTGATAAATTTTGGTATCTCTTGCAATGGTAATCATAAAGGCATGAAGAACAATTGGTAGAGACCTAAGTAACTTTGATTATCTGCACAAAACAAACATTCTAAAAAAGGTGGAAATAATATTAAGTGACCATAGCCACCCACTGACATCCGAATTTCATTTATTGACCTTCAGTAAACGATATATTTCCAAATAGCAAGAACAGACAGATACTGAATTTAATTTGTATCAGAGAGACGTTTGTTTTAGTAGAGGTGTTACGGTGCTCGCAACCGCATAAGGTCATATGAGCGCCAAGGGGAGGATGTCAACAGAGAAGTCCTTACAGGGAATCAGACTTACTCCCCTCACCACTCTAGCTTCAACAGCACAAAGTCTGCTTCGACTATCAAGGCACCATGGAAATAGCGGGTCACAAGAGTGAGACAAACATACAAAAGAAGTAGAGGAAATGACAGCAGTTTCCTGTTTTAGTTCGGGCACAATTATGAGCATGATATTGTTGGATCAGCCCATTTACTATTCTACTGTGAACTAAAAAAAGAAATGTCCCCCCTTTGGGAATGGCCTAAAGACACTTCAGTCAGTGGCACCGTCCCAGGGGGTTACCAGAGAGAGAGAGAGAGAGAGAGAGAGAGAGAGAGGGGAAGGGAGGGAGAGAGAGAGAGACAGAGAGAGAGAGACAGAGAGAGAGAGACAGAGAGAGAGAGAGAGAGAGAGAGAGAGAGAGAGAGAGAGGTGGGAGAGAGAGAGAGTGTGTGTTTTAAGGAGCAGGTTGTTTCAGCATGTGAGACATGTATTTTTACTAATGTCCTGTCTTGTGCATATATGCATGAATGCACCTAACCTTTGTAACATCCACTGCCATTGTAAACTAAACGACCTAGACTAATTTCATTGACATTGTCATTTCAATTATGTGACACACAAACCCAGACACTGAGAGGGAAGGGCAGAGAGAGAGAGAGCAACAGCAAAGAGCTGAAATGCTACACCACATTGCCGGTTCTAAATGTGTCGATGGGAGTGTAAAAAATACTACCAATCAGAGTCCATACCTTGACCGACACCTTGTGCTTGGAGAAGACCCTGCTCTTAAGCAGCTGCAGGATGCTGTGGACTGGCAGGTAGCCTGAGGCCCGGGCATCCAGATTGGGCGTTACTGGAATCTTCACAGCGTGGGCAGCTACCACCTGCCGGAACATATCCCAAGACACATAAATCTTTTTTTTGACTTTACACTAATTTACAGCAAGTGCAATCAGGTCATACAAAAACGTTGGTATTTGATTTTAGCAAGAGTTTTACAGCACTTGCAACACAATAAGGTCATATAAGTGCTAATCGTAAAATAAATTAGTACAAATGAGTAACAAACATACACACAAAAATTTAACTTTAGTAAGAATTTTACAGCACTTGCAAGACAATTACAATTAGGCCATTTTAGTGCTTAAGATTAAAGGTGTTACAAGAGAGTAACACACACACACACAAAAAAAAGAGAAGAGATAAGGATGACAGATGTTTGTTGGGGACGAAGGAGAATACACAAGAGCACCTACCAACCACCCATGATACATAAATCAGTGGTGTCATGTAGATCTAGTAGTATGTGTAGCAACACAACAAAATGAGTGGCTCGCTGCATTTTGCTGACTCGAGACATCGGACAAAAACAAAGTACCTACAGTGATGCAGTGGTTTCTGGCTAAAAGCATGCACCTTGGGTGATAAGAAAAGCATGCTCTTATGCAAACATGTTATAAAGCGAATTTCAAAGGGGAGTAGTCTAGAATAAGTATTCTGCTAAATTTCGCAGCTGTTGTAAACCACTTTGCACCTTTTATCCTGCATCACTGAACTGAACTCACCTTACAGTGACAAGCAATAATAAACGTCTCACCTGCTCTGTAAAGAGTTCCATAGTGAAAATCTGATGAAATTTCACTGATGTACCCGTCTTCACTGATATCTAAAAACAGAAATGAAAAGAAATAAACCATGAGACATTCCTGGCTCATCTGACAGCGACAAAAGACAGGCTTAGATCTCCGCCATGGGCGAAAGTGATAAGGGACGGTTTAGCCTGAAAATTCTGTTGTTAGAGAACGGATAGCCTGAAAAGTTCATGGTAAATTCACGAGCATGCTACATAACAATGACAGCACGTGCTCTATTTAAATATATATAATACACACACACACAAACAAGTAGATATCTACGTAGCCAAACTTATATATGTATCCAGTCAATAAAATTTCAGTGTGGAACTGGAGTCATGTGTGATTTACGTATTTCAGTCTGTTCTTACTTGTTATATTTTCTTATTTATATTTCTCCCCTCATCATTTTATATATAATATATAAACTATATTATACAAATGAATCTTGCTTTGAGCCTGTGAAAGGGCCTAGAACCAGAAAATCGACTGTCAAGAACCAGTCTTGGTATCATGATTCATATCAGGGATGCCTCATGGCCAAGAAAAAAAAACCTGAATTTTCTGGGGTCGGCTTTAGTACCCGCAATAAATTGATGAAAATAGGTAAGAAAGTAAAAAAAACCCACAATGAATTGTGTAAAAGGATAACTTTTTTCTCTTTCATCTTTGTCATGTGTGCTGGGCGTTTCACATGATCAGACAGGGCTTTTTTTCCAGAGCTCCAATACTTAATTTTCTCCTCACAGAACGCACAGTATACTGCGCCAGCCTCTTTCAGATTCCTGAAGCAGTCCGAATAGGATCCACCACCAAACTCGGGTGCCACTTTCTCTTGCAGCCATTCCCATTTGAATTTGTTTTTCAGACCTTTGTCCAACGTCTTTACACAAGCGTGACCACGCACAATGGAAACGCGGTATCCATTCTTCACTTCATCCGTTAGATCTACAATCTAGATGGAACACGCAGCACAACAGTAAATCCATTTGAAATAGTAATCCTTCTTGAATGAATCAAAGGCACGTGTTCACTATGTTTCTTCTTGACTGTCTTTGTAATCTGTAATCTAGATTCTAGACTAGATAGATCTACGACGTTCGTATGGTGGTGGGAGAGATGGCTTGGCCTTATCAAAACAGTGACTGCGCTTGCGCAGAAGAATTCTCTAGCTCCTGTATTTAAAATTCACAACCGGAAATCCACCAGTGGACTCTCTGTACTCGAGTCGTATCACATTTTTTCGCTCTTGACAACGGATTTTCGGTTTTAACCGGAAAACGGCGTCCCTGTCATATTATAAACGTGAAAGACAAAAATTATTGCTCAAACTCAAAGTAGAGTAAAAACTTGAATGGCTCAGGTAGACCTATTCAGTTCGAGAGTTGTAAGAACTGACAGAGGCCAAGATGCAGTGACACTGAAAATCAGCAATCTTGACCACGCACTTTTTAGAGAGCTCAAATAAAATCTTAAAAATAAAATTGCTTCCAAGTTTGTTGTCCTCTGGTGTTGCCTTCCGCACCCTCCCCACCCAGAGTATCTTTTAAAAAAAATCAATAATATAATTCCCTACCCCTTCCGAGTCCTATGCTTCCAAACGCTCAGACTTTAAATGAACCCTAACCACCGTCTATGCTCACACGATTCCATATTATGAGACGAGAACATGCGCAGGTTCACTGACTGGTCACGATGAGGAGCCCAACAAGCTGACAATCTGACAACGCTTTTTTTTCCTTTTTCACAAGTGACAGCACAGAGAAAAAATTTGATTTATTTTCATGGCGACACAGCGTTTATAGTGGGTGATCTGCATGTCAGAAAGGTTGCATTATCAGTCTATCACCGGCCAAGTTCTGGGTGGTAACGAAAGAGAAAGTAGATCTTGATATTCCCGATCGAGCCACGGTGTAACAGCTTCCGCATGCCCCCATAGCCGCATGTTCGCGTAACATGTACTGTCGGACCGGGAAAAGCTGAACGAATTCACAATAGTGGCCGGCAAAAATGAACTTACTGACCATATCGGAATTTGTTTTCAAATATTCCAGAACTTTTCGCGGGTCTTCCCGACTTTTTCTCGCGGTAATTTACAGATTTCACCTCGTTATGTTTATTTAAAGCAACAAATACAGATTCTTATTTCAGAAACCCTCCCCCAAAAAACCCTGATACCTCAGCATAAAAATACCAGGGGGAAAAAAACAACATACTTCAACCCTCAAAACTTGAGCAAAGATTACAGGAGTCACTTAGACCCATAAACAGAGGATTAAGAACAATTGTGACGTACTGGTGGCACCCTGTAAATTTAACCATCTGCACAAAGAAGGATAAATGGAGCTCCTGGAATATCAAAAAAAAAGAAAAAAGAAAAAAAGCTTTTTCCATTACCTTCATGCCAAGAGTGTTGCAGACCAGGTCCATGATAGCTTGCATTTGACGGTTGTGAAAGTTGAGAGCCAGGAGGAAGAGCATCTCTCCTGGACTGTCTGTCCGGTCAGAATATCTGCCCAGTCCGGAATGGAAAGGAAAGAGAAACGTTACACCACATGATGGGCTGAACTGTCTACAGTTACAAGAATTTTATATACCAGGCTGTCTTCTCTTTTTTTTTTTACTGTGCTCGCAACTGCATAAAGTCGCATGAGTGCACTGTGTCTTCTCAAATCAAAGTACCTGAGTGTCAAAAATTTTAACTTCCATATTCCAGTGAAGCATTTTTCATCCATGTTTTTCCCCTCATCCAGAGAAAGATACCAAGTCATCAAAATGCAAACCAAAAATATATTTGTTCATTCTTTAGTTCCCTTGCACTGTCAGCGTTGAACAGCTGGAAAACACTAATAGTAACTATCCTAGTAATGCTTACATAAAAAAAACAACCATTCCTAATTGATAGAACATACCCTCAATATTCTTACAATTTGAGAAAACCCACTACAAAAACATTGAGGTAGACTCATATCATAAGAGCAGCTCCTGTACAAAATGAAGCTCTACAACAAAGAGTAACAAAATAAAACAAGAAGACAGGTCCAGATCTCAAACATTACCTGTCAAAATGTGTCTCTGAGGACATGAGCCAGCGTAGCCAGTTGACAACAAGCTGTTCCTCCTCCAGTCCCCTGTAGATGGGAGAGAAATGTATTGGGGCACGGAGGGCAGGAGATTCTTCAGCGAGGTTTTTTTATTATCCATTATAAATCAATACAATTACAACAAGGCAGCAAACTCTATGCACGCAAGGCGATAAGCTGAAATTTTGCAGCACAGATGCCAGTAAGATTAAAATTAAAATAGCATGCAAGCATAAAAACCGAAAACGCAAACCAATCTGACAGGCTGAGTAATATCTTCCCTGCAAAACGGAAAAAACATATACCTCACACGACTATTAAAAATTCCACAGTTAGTAGTAGTTTTGTCCTTCAACCCAGTATCATTTTCAGTACAGAAAAGCCCATCGATATAAAAACTGTCATTTGTGCAGGGGGGCAAAGTGAGACAGACAGACAGACAGACAGACAGACAGAAAGACAGACAGACAGACAGACAAGACCAATAGAGGTGGAAAAAAAACAGAAGTAGGACCTGCTGGCAGTGCTCTCCAACACCCACTTTCATAACCTCACCTGAGCAGGCCCGGGCTTGCTATGAGTGTGCAGATGCCCAGAGAGATGAAGTGTGCCCCAGCCTGGCACTGTGGGGGGTGGGAGGTGACCAGTCTCAGAAGGCTCAACATCTCCTCATCACTATACCTGGACAGAAAAGAAAACAGGAATAAACTCCAAATCCACAAATTTTTATCATGCCTGAGATGAGTTATCATTACAGAAAGTCACCAACAAAGCTACATTGTCTCTTTAACATAATAAAAGCTCTTTCATCAATGTCTAACGATGAATAATACATCTGAAGAGGAGAACATTTCTCAAGCAAAAATGAAGAATAAGAATAATTAAAATTAAAATTTAAGATGACTTATGCCTTCTGCTGTGGCCAATGAGACCAATTCTGGCAGAGAAAAGTTTGCTATATTTTGAGCATTCAGCAAACAGACTTGGGAAATAGTCAAATACACTCTGAAAAGAGAACAGAAGGGACAAACTTCACAGGAATGCGCTCGAGTTGTCTACTTTTTTTTTTCATATAAAATAGACGGCCTTCCTCACGTGAGAATGGAACAAGCGTTTATTACATAAAATAGCAGAGAGTCTGACTATTAAACACACAGACACTGGTCCGCTTTTTTTAAAAAAGATAATGGCAAAAAAAAGCATATGTCCTCACTTCATGGCGGCAATTCCCTTGAGAGCGCAGTAGAGCCTGACAATGGCGCTGGCGATCACCGTATTGCTCTCCTCCATCACCTGGTCCAAGCCAGGGGTCAGACGGACCACTTCCTTCAACAGGTGTTCTCTCAGCGACATCAGCATACACGGGCCAGCGTCTGTTCTCCTCTGCACCAAAACATTAATTGTAATAGTAAATACCTTACTCCCCAACAAGGAGCTTAGAACTAATGGAGCTTCCTCTCTCTCTTCGCGGCGCCACGAGCAGTACGCCGTGGTGGGGATCAATTATGGCCGCTGACTGTGGGCTAAATCACCAACTGTGGCGTTTCTTTTTATAGAATCTTATCGGGCTGGGCCACGTTGTGGGGGTGGGCGGGATGGGGGAATGCACACAAGGAAGAGGGGATGGGGCTGGGATGAAAGAGGAGGGGCGGGCCTTGGGAAGGGACGAAGGAGAATGGGAAAAATTAAATAAAAAAGAGAGAGAGAGAGAGAGAGAGAGAGAGAGAGAGAGAGAGAGAGAGAGAGAGAGAGAGAGAGAGAGAGAGAGAGAGAGAGAAAGTGAGACAGACCGACCGACCGACAGACAGACAGACAGACAGACAGACAGACAGACAGAGAGAGAGAGAGAGAGAGAGAGAGAGAGAGAGAGAGAGAGAGAGAGAGAGATTGTGATCAACTGACGGGCTGACGGATAATGACAGTGAGAAAAAAAAAAAATTCTGTTTGTGATACGGACTGTTCAATTATCTAGTTTAAAAATCAAAAAGATGTGTAAAATAAGAAGAAAACTTGTCCGAGTAACATAAAATTATCAAACATACCGAATTATAAAGATAACCTTTCAAGATGCTAAAATATTTAATTATAAGAAATGGATAAAAATATACTATTAAACTGAATTTAAGATATATGATTGCATGACTCTAGGCGTGTGCCATAACTAACTTTATGTGTAAGGAATAGCGGACACAAAAGAGGGTTGATGTTTGCTTTATCTAATTGCTAACAGTATGTCTTGGTCTATAAATAATATTATTGATCACAATAATTTTGTTTCCTGGTTTTCACAAAGTGGAGCGCACAATGATTTCAAATATTTTTTTTTTAAAAAGAGATAACAGCACCCTTGGAGGTGTGATCGCATGTATGAGCGTGGATAACCTTTGAAGGGTTTGGGGTTGTTTTTTTCCAGTAAAGTATGATATGGAGAGCAGCGTTTTTAGTCCCTTATTACACTCCAGAGGGGGATAATTTATCTTAGTGATGATTCCTGTGTAGTAAAATTTGTTGTTGCTTTGTTTGGTTTATTTTTTAACAGCAGAATCTTAAGTGAACCGGAATTATTGATTGTGGGATCTTAGGTGAAGACTACAACAATAGAATTAAACCGAGTATAGTTCTATCTAACAAGACTCAAACTCTTATCCACCCCACCCTACCCTCTCCCCTCATCTGATATGGTTTGGTGTTTCTTTAACATAGAAAATATTCATCATTATTGTTGTTGAGTATTGATTTCATGTTCTAATGGAGCCTCTAGATATCTACATTTAGACTACAGTAGCATCTAATTTGCACACACAAAGGAAAGCAATATCTTTAATTAAAGTGTATAATATGTATATACATACACACACATAATAATTATATATATATATTTATGAATAAGAATACTTTTAAAAAATTGAGTATCTCTGTCTTTCTGCTGGGGTGTTGTATCCCTTTCAGCTTGGGTTGGCCTTGGCAAGTAGCGCTGGAGCCAGCCTCTTATGAATATTAATGATTTAAATTGTGTTGCTGGGGGCATAGAAACACTTTCATTCTAATTTTTTAAAAGGAAAACAACTTAACTGTGAAAACTTCGGTCCACTGCAGCATCATATTGGTTCTTACACTTAAATACAAAACAGGTGCAAGGCATTTTTACTAATTGACTTGCCTAATCTCAAGGACCTCGGAATAAAACCTTCTTTCTTATCTAGATTTCAGTGCGTGAGTCGAGCAATCGCGCAGCGTAGGTAGCCCACAGTTCCGCCGCAAGAGAGGGCTCCTATCAGGCGTGTGGTGCCAACCACAGAGCATCTCCCATTACTTGTAATCTCCTTGCTCCCCAATCAACACAATTTACATCAATAATTTAGGGGGCAGGCTGCTTCGACCCTGCCTGTCAGAGCCAATCCGGACCACAATGTCCAGGCAGATTGATGCAGATATCTGACATAAAACCTCCCACTTTGGGAACTGAATTCAGGTCTTCTGCGCAAGATAATCGAGTCTGACTTTTACACCAAAGACTGCCACTTAACAACAAGATTGGCATCACAGATTACATGGGAGGAGACCTATAAAGTCACACTAAGAAAATGTTTCAAAAAAATAATCTTCACTAGAACATTTCACTTTGAACCAACCAAAACAGCTCAGAGAACCCAAGAGCAACCATAGTACATAACATGACACATTGAAACATTAGACAGTTTTTCTTCCACTACTGCCACATTGGCTATCCTTACACAGATAACATGCAATGATTTTACTTAAAGGTCTTAGTTTCAAATCAAAGCTAAGAATGAAATTTGTTCATCTTTCTCTAGAAACACCTTCCCTCTCAGCACAGAGCTCTACAGAGAGGTAAGGAGCTTGGCCTTCCAAATAACCCAAACTGTACAGTGTAAAAAAAAGTGCATTTAAGTTTATGAAACTACCTTTTGTCCAGCCTTGACAAAACCAGAAATCCAGTTGCGCACTCCCACATCACTGCCCAGCAGAAGACTTGTGATAAAAGGAACAATGTCACTTCCTGTCTGATGGCCATCCGTTGCAAGAGGCTGAGACAGTTGGATGGTCACAGCTACAGCAAAACCTGGCATGGTGCAGTGCTCCACCTGGAAAAAAACAAACAAAAATAACAATACTAAATTAATAAGCCCTCTTTGAAATTTGCATACAGTAGCAAATACACTTTCTTTCACAGAATACTTTTCTAAACACCAATTGCCCCGGGGCTCACAAGGTATGTTTATTTTTGAAGCATCAGTTCATATTTTGCTGGACTTATCAGATTCGGTTTTTCAAATATTAAAGAGCTCAACGTATTTTCCCAGGTCTTTCCCAGGACAATTTACAGATTTACTCATATTCCAAGGGCATTCCCAGGTCTTGACAATTTGAGTGAAATTCTCGGGTCATTCACAAGGTTTCCGGGGCCTAACAGTCACCATGTACAAGGAATGGAAACTTACACAAAAGTTTCGGACTGTGAGGGCAGCTGTGGGGTTCATGCGACACAACATCAGGAGCAGCTCCATCCTTCGATGACCACCAATCGACTCTTCTTCCTGTTTTTCCCCACGAGACACGAGGCTATTGCACACTGAGAAGCAAAATGACACAGAAAAGATAAAATAACATAACACAACATTTTATTGATCTCCACAAAAGGAAATTTGCAACGACATATACATGCATAAGTGCACATCAACACACCACACACAGTTACATGCACAAACAATCATTGGATGGACAGATAACACTATTTATTCTTGCACAGATGACAATCACCTAAATATAGCTTTTATCGATGATTGCAGTAATTGACAACTCACAAGATCTGGCCGAAAAGTATGCTAAACTACCAATGGCTTCTGGGTAGTAAGATTTCCTTACTTATGGTACAGAACTGTACAACACACAACAAATGATGAAATCAAATTCAAACAATACAGGATTGAGAGCAAATAGAACAAAAAAGTCTTGATTTTTGTATCTTCTAAACTCAGTACATTTATTTTTTAAATGGTATTTCAGTTTCGGTGGCTTGCATCTGCATCTCAAAGAATCATAAGTAAGCCTTAGTATTGGAAAGAACAATGATAAACAAAATGCTCTCCTAAAATTTTTTTTTAAAACAATGTATTCAGCTTTACTTATCCCGAGCAATATGTCATCTCACCTTCAAGAAAAGATTCAGGATTGTTCGCTACCAGTTGACAGATAAGTCTTGGGCCATTCTCCACACATAGTAGCGTCTCGGAGATGTCCATTATGTTCAGCAAGTTGGGCAACTCTAGACAAAAGTTGGATAATAGATTTATGAAGTAAAAATCATACACCAAACTCTACTTTTACAAATACAACGTGTATAGGCTATCTACATCTTTGCTGTTGCAGTAGGAATAGATACAAAAAATGTTTCATCTTTAAAATATGATTGCTCGCCAATCAAATGGTCTAATAAAAAAAATTTATAAAACTGCTTGATGTACTACAGGTCTGTCTCCAGTAAATGTTTGAACTAGTATTGCTCAGTACACAGCCAGAAATATACAATCAAATTTTCTGAAGATCACAGACAATTATCTTTTAATCAAGACTTCAATTCGAATTACAAAGCAGGTTATGGGTAATAAGACTTCAAAGCATAACGGTTTGAACCCTTGTCCCCCAAGCTTACATGGCCCCTGTACCTCAGGCGTACGTTTTGTAAGCCTAAGGGTAAAGGAAGCACACGCTCAGGTCCATAAAGTTAATGGTAACAATTTTTATGACATAAATAGGGCAAAGAAATTTATGTTGTTGTTGTTGTTGTTGTTAACGATCCAGCAACAGCTGGGCTCTCATCCTTCTGTCCAATGCCATGTAGTGATAAGTGCAGGTCTGCTGCAGTTGCTGTAATGTTCCATAGAGTGTGTTGTCAATGTTAGGTCTCGGAGGGAGAAGGGTACAAAGAAAATTATACACACCTGCCATGGCGATGCAAAGTGCATCCAAGATTTCATCCAGATACACAGGGCACTCAAACAAGTCTGACTGTTTCTGGTAGTTACCAGCTCTCTGATCCTTCAACTGGGGGAAAAAAGTTACAGTGCAGAAAAGAACGTCACAACAGGTATCTGTCCAATACAAAATTCTCCAAACTGATATCCAAGCTCTGAATCTTGTTGCATACAGTCGAACCTGCCTTAACGGAAACCTGTGTAAAAGGTAAACCTGTCTTAACGGAATCTCCCCGCTCCCCCCTTGATATATTCCTCTTTAATCACCTGTATAAAACAGAAACTAGTCCAATGCGGAAAGAGAAAAAAAATCTGCTCCCTTCCAAAGGTTTGACCTGTCTAAGACGGAAAATGCTTTGTCCGTTTAGCCTTGGTTTGAAACAAAATTTGCAAGTTTGGTTCTGCCGGCTCTAAACTTAACGCCATGGCCATATCGCTGGGCGAGGAAGGGGAGTAGGGGTGCAATTAGGGGGTAGATGTTACCCCATCATGCGAGCCCTGAGCGATGCAGATGGTCAGGGTAGTGTGGGTGTGAAATCTCACGACTGCCCGTGAGAGTGCTCAAGCAGCAAGCCACTACGGAAACTTTCCTGGGTAGCCGGATGCCAGAGGTGTTAAATTAGACCAATGCCTGCCGCCCTGATCGAACGGCCAGCCAACAAAAGAGTTCTTCGAATAGTTGTTACATGATGGCAGAGAGGGGTGGCATTGATTGACTGTGCTAGTAACACCGGTGAGTGGGGCTAAGGGTGGAAGCAAAGGAGATGTTCAAACATTTCTGTTTTTAATAGGTCAAACAGTGGTCCTAAGAAAGGCAAGCACTGGTGGTAATTGAATAGGTAAGACTGACGCATGTCATTATCAGACAGGATAGCAATTGAGAGGTGTGAAGTTTTGACCACTGCTTGCCGATCGGACAAGCGATCCTTGATCCCACTGGCTGGCCCTTTCCATCTTCCCCTAAATTCTAAGACAGAAAATGTCTAAGACGGCTCTCTTTAACTCCGTCAAACACAGCTTCGACTATATTTGTAACTTAAGCCGATTCAATTTTGAACAGAAATATCATGAACACATTCAACAAATTTTCATGCTGAAAGGTTTATTTAAATAGCTTCTGTTTAACCAAATGCACCAGAAGGTCTCTAAGCAAAAATACTGACACGCCTAACTCTTGGACAGAGAATCAATGATGGAATACGTAGGCATGGCTGTCAGATGCAAAGTTTGAATAGAACTCCCCCTCCCCCCCCCCAAAAAAAAAGACTGGAACCATGAACTATTTTATAAAGTTACATGCAATCGTAGGTTAGGTGGCAAGGGATTCAGGGAAGAAGACAGAGAAGCAAAAGAAGAGGTGGGGCATGGCGAGATAAACAAGCCACATTTGTCTACACATCGGTGGCCTAGCGGTAAGACTACCAGACTCGTAATCATGAGGTTGTGGGTTCGGGGATTCACGCCACGGGCCCGACATTGTGTCCTTGGGAAAGACACTTTACACAAAATCTCCTCTTTTCACCCAGGTGGGAAGGGGTGCTCGACCATAGAAAGCGAAAGATCTTGTCAGTATGTTAGTGCTTTAGCACCCATAAATGGCAGCTTGCACTGTATGCTTCCAAAGAAGTTGAGTTTGTTTCAGAACTCTCTCAGGTCTGCTGGGGTAATACTAATAGTATAGATTGTGAAGTGCATATAGAGCTTGCTGTTGAGCATGGATTTGCGCTATACAAATGCTATAAATTATTATTATTGAAATTAACACCCTTCTCTTCACCAAACTAAGGCCATGTGACAAAAGAATGAAATGTTTACGATCAAGATGATCCAGAACAACAAGAACTTCCTTAACCTTTTAAAAAGTCTTTAAGTGATAAACAGTACCACAACCACTTTACTTGACAATCAGTTCACTAAATCACTATGTATGTCAACACCTCACTTAGTCAAATGTTACCTCAGAGGAGACAAAGAGAAGTTCACTGAGCAGGAGCCTGATGCGTTGGGCCGGGTCACTCTCACTCTTTTCAAATCCAAGAGCTATCCCACGAGTCAGCTGAGAGACTAATACACTCTCCGTCAAGTTACTGCCAAGTTTAGACCTGGAAGGAAAATAAAATAACAAAGTATGATGGGAGATGACAGAGACTTGCAATAGAAATTAATCGCAAACAATACAAATGAAGGGAGCTTTCATGACAAAACGCATTATGCATGTTTGGTCAGTTTGAGAAAAATACTTGAAAATTTCCCGGAAAACCCCCCCCACCTCAAACTTTATTTTGCTGGTGAGCATAAGTCTATAAAGTGTGACTAGTAAAAATCTGTTTCCAAAGAAAAGCAGAAGACAGACAATGGTTAGAGAGAGAGTAGGAAAGGAAAGAGAAAGGAGAACATTTTAGAGAAGAAAATTTTCCGTCGCTGTCAGGTTTCGAACTAGACACCTAAGCCTAATATTGAATGAGAGCCCCCCCCCCCCCCCCCCCCCACCCCATAATTTGATGTTTTGCAGTTAGTTAGGTTCGAAATTTACTTGAAAATACAGGGTGATCCAAAAAAAACTTTACAACTTTTTGTCCGAATATCTCGCGCAAAAATGGTTCTAGAATGATGTAATTTGGAGCAGACATAATTCATTCAAAAGGAATTTGTTTGATATAAAATCCATGAAGAAGAAACAAGTTTTGAAAACGGAAACGCCTAAAAGAAAAAAGCACCCAAAAACGCAAAGTTCACAAAAGCTTTAAAATCTTGTGAAGGAATTCGTGAGGCTTCTAGAGACAATAGATTGGGGTGCCCAATAGACTGCATTTTTGGAGTTAACATATCCCGCAGCGTAAAAATTGGCTTTGCACTAAACCAAATGTCATCAAGGAAATGATCCCTCTTTACAAGACAATCGAGGAATCATGAACACATTGCCATGGTCTGATCCATGTCATTTCGGCCTAGCCAAGATGAACATGGAATACTCGAAGGTTAAGATATACCATGAGAATGCAGACTGTTGATGTGTAGGAAAGTCCTAGCTGCAGATCGTCTACGGACAGACATCTCATGGGACTCGGCTACTGAAATCTGCACTCTGGTGACGTTTAAAGGGCTGTGCATGGTGCGTGTTCGACCTGAAGTGGTCATTTTTTAAAGAACTTTTTAGTTTTGATTCGCTATAGATCCAAACTGACGGAACTTTTCTACTCATGACGCCAAAGGTCTTGAGGTCACCTAAGCATTCTCTCCATGCCGTGCGCAGAACTTACGGAATGTCAGGGATGGTGAGTTTGTGGAGAGGTAATGTTCAATACAAAAAGCTCTCTGCTCTTTACTAAACGTAGTCATGATCTCAGCAGGCAAACAAAATTTGGGAAAATAATGTCTGCAGACTTCTGTTGACTTGTTAAACTGCTGTAGCTTACAATATGGCGCGATTGTTGCAACTTTTATTGGTAGGCCTAAAGCAAACTGGTGCGTCGTGCTATGAAAATGGCGACAAGGTTGAACATGGGTTGTTTTTTCAATGCGCTATAGAGAGCAAAACCATTCCTTGGACTTATCTAAAATACATGTCAGACAAATTCCTTTTGGCTTCCAAACGTTATGTTCAAATCTGAAACGCAAAACTTCAGTATGGAGGAAGATATTTAAAAAACAAGTTGTAAAGTTTTTTTTTGGATCACCCTGTAATTGATTTGCGACAGTTTTTGTGGCTATGTCAACTATGTGATGTACATACATGGCAAAAAAAACCCTGCAGTTTGACCCCAAAAAAGCAGTGCATCTGAGAGTAGGAGTGAAAGTAAAAATTTACCGCCAAATTTACTGCACTTTACTCTGTCATTATCACAATTTGTCATCCAGTCAAACCTGTGTAAGACGGAATCGCAAGGGAGCCAGTAAAAAAATTCCATCTTAGACATTTTAGTCTCAGACAGGGAAATTTATACTGGGGAGATGGAGGAGGGTTTCAAAGGCCTAGCTGGTGGGATAAAGGGTAGCTTGTGCGGTCGTCAAGCAGTGGTCAAAACTTCACACCTCTCAAGAGCTTATCCTAACCTCTCTGATAATGATATGCGTTAGTCCAACTAATCCAGTGTTTGCATTTCATTGGACCACTGTTTGACCAAATAAAAAAAAACCGAAGTGACTATTTCACGAACGCTTGGGAAAATAAACTTGACCCCTATTTTTCCTAACGGTTTCCGTTCTCGAGATTTTTTGATTATTTGCGAGAGTACGGCATCATCTTTCTTTCTGTCATTCTGTGAGAACTGGGAAGAAGCATTTTTTGCATCAAATTCAATTTAAAGAGCTAGAGATTTTTAGATGTCTGAATATTCAGATACTTCAATTGTGGTTGGGGCAACGTTCCCAGACTATAGTTCATTTGCCAAGAAAATGTCTTCAAAAGGTACTGCGAGAAAACAAGACGGCTCGACTTTGGCAGTAACCTATTTTGCAAAATAAAGCAAAAACTAAGAAAAAAAAATCCCTTCACGCCCCCTCCCCCCATCGTTCACACCTTTACACACACACTCACACATACACACACACGGGCCACTCCATTCGCAAATAACCAAAAAATCTCGAGAACGAAAACCGTGCAGAGAAATAGAGTTCAAGTTTATTTTCCCTGAGCATTTGGAGAAATAGAGCCAGCCTAAAAAAAAAAGTGTTTGAACAGCTCTTTTGCTTCCACCCTTAGCCCCACCCATCGGTGTAATAAGCACAGTCAACCAATGCAACCCCTCCCCACGTAACAATCATTCGGTGAGCTCTTTTCTCGGCTGGCCATACGATCAGGGCGGCAGGCATTGGTCAAACTAATTTCATACCTGTGGCCTCTGGTTACCAATGAAAATTTCCATGCTGAAGCGCCACTCAAGCACTTTCATTGGCATTTATAAGATTTCATATACCCACACCACCCTGACCATCTGCAATGCTACCCTGACTCTCCTTCCTCCCCTGGGGGCATGGCAATAAATCCGCAAGTTTTGTTTCAAACCAGGGTTAAGTGGGCAAAGTATTTTCCATCTTAAACAGGTAAAAACCCTAGGAAGGTATCAGATTTTTCTCTCCGTTTTCATGTTGGACAGGTTTCCGTTTTAGTTTTATACAGGTAGAGCTAGTTAAAGAGGAATTTATCAAGGGGAGAGCAGGGGGATTCTGTTAAGACTAAGACTAGGCAGCGTAAACCTGACCTTGCTGGCACTCATGGCCTTCCGAGTGCGTGGTATCAGTGAAATCGGGGTAATTCAGATTGCTGTTTCTACTTTGCTCTTTCGCTATGAAATACCAAATGCTGTACACTTTGTAAAAGTTCAGCTTTTCCTCGTTTCAATGGTGTAAGTTGTTTAAAGTCTGATTATTAGGAGCTGGAGAATCGCCATGGACAGCGAAGCCCCTCACGGTCGGAATGCGTGGTCGGCAGGTTAAAAAATTGACATGCGTGCATTCAAATGCTTCGCGGAAGGATTGAATTTGATGAATAAATACCGTCTTTACATTGGTGGAGAACTGTGGAGCTTTGGACGGGCTTTCCTGTGGTATATTTTTAGCCTTTGGCGTTAAATCAGAATGCCTTTTAAAATACCGTCAAAGTTTTCAAAGATAATTGTTTACACTAAATATGTAAAATAGCTGAAAAAAAGTTACATAGAAAGATCAGTTCATTTTCTTATTACAATAAAGTAATCAGCTTGGAATTATTTTTCACAGGTCCATCAGCCAAACTCAGAAAGCATGTGACCCCAACGTAAGGAAAAGCATGTGACCCCAACGTAAGGAGTACTCAGTACACTACAGTATAGAACCGACTCGCTCGCCGTGTGGGCCGGTGGCAGGACAACGCTCTGAGCTTTTGTCGAAATAAGGACAGCTATTATCATGTTTGAGGCGATAAAATACTGATTAGTAAAATGATCTTACAGTCTTGAAAAAAATTAGCCTCCATATCAATGTTATAGTGATTGTAATCTGTTTATGTGGAGATGTTTGGTGCACTTGGTACTCTTTTATTTATCTGTCAAACATGGGGTTGCAGCCAGTGAACGACTTTAACAAATTTGATCAAATTTTTAACAGAGCTCTACCGTTTTCTTAAAAATTGACTGAGATGTTCAAGAAAGGTTCCAAAATTCTCAGGAGATGTATATAGATATATAGATCTATATCTAGGCCTTTCATATGAAACAGTCTATTTGGCATGGAAGTGGCTATCCTCACCCCGGGTGAGAATAAAAATACAATCGACCTCTCACCACAGCCTCACCTGGTGTGAAACAACACCTGTTTTTCCTAATTTCGGAATATGTACAGTCTATCGGTGTGGACTATGAGATAGACAAAAACAAAGTAAAAAATGACGTTATAGCACAAAAGTAAGCTAATTTGGTCGTCTACAAAGATGCTATGGCTATTTCACTTTTCGAATCGAGCCCGAACTACGCGGGTCGCCATTTTGTTTTGCCCGCAAGTTCTCGCAAGATCTACTCTTTCTCTCTCTCTCGCACTCTCTTTCTGAATACTGTCTATCCGGGTGGACAATCAAATTGACAAAAACAAAGATAAAAAATGATGTTAAAACACAAAAGTAAATTAATTCAGTCGTCTACAAAGATGCTACAGCTATTTAACTTTTCGAAACAAGCCGAACTACGCAGGTCACCATTTTGTTTTGCCCAGAAGTTCTCGCGCTACTCCTCTCTCTCTGTCTGTCTCACTGCCTACAGACAAAATAAAAATTGCACGCTTTCAACACAAGAGCGCTGGAACGTTTGTTCACGGTGAATGCTACACTGGTTGGCCTTCTGTCATGAGAATAGCCAAAGGCCCGCCTGCGCTTTACAGCTACTTTGAAAATTTAGTTTCTGGTACCTACAAAGAAAAGTTTCTGTCTTACACAGGTTTCCGTTAAGGCAGGTTCAACTGTATATCATCATTGCCTTTCTCACCCTGCACCAGGGTATTGGCCACGGACAAACACCTTCCACCTTTCTCTATCCTGGGCTAGCCTCTTGATGTTATTCCATGTCTTCCCACTTTTCTGTGCATCGATTTCAGTGATTCTTCTCCAGGTTCCACGCGGTCTTCCCCTTGATCT